CCCATACAGCAAACCTGACTTGTTGCAGTTTTTCACTTGATATTAATTAAAACGTGAACCCTTGAAATATTCACATAATTTTAGTAGCATTTTAAAAATAAATCATAAAATTAAAATAAAATAATTATTTAATTTAAAAATATTTAAGGGGGCTGATATAAATGAAACACACCGATCGCTTTGAACTCGAGTTTATTACTGAACGATGACAGCGACACAGACATCAACTTTTGTTACTACGAGTACAATGTAGGTAGGTTCTAAATATTATGCGCGTAGACGCGCATACACATCATTCCTCCACACTTAATTTTTGGAACCTGGTGACAAAACATAGCCAATGTTAATTAACTACGATTATATAAACTAGTTAAACTTAGAGTAAACTAAACATAAGCAAGTTAAAGATATTTCTTATAATCTACGTGTTTCCTAGGACGTAATAAGTATGGGTGTGTGGGTGCTTGCGAGGGCAAAGACGGCGCTTCACCCGGGTTGGGATCCCGCGGGGGCGTCCCGGCGGCGGGGGCCGCCGTGCTGGCCGGCTCGGGCGGCTCGTCACCTGCTACTGTACTACTCTCCCTTGCGCATTCGTCATCCTCACAATCGCCATACTCATCATCGCTGAGCACCACCCGGTCTGAGTTATTTTAGAGATTGCATTTGTTCAGAGGGCCCAGCAGAACATTGATGCTCAGTAATTACTGGCACGGGCTGTTCTGGGGTACAAGTGGGTGACGCTACTGTGTTACGGACCGCAAGACTCAAAGGTGGCGGTAAGTTTGTTTGCGATTGCGACGAATTATTATTATTACGTATGTTTGTCTCAGACCAGCTGTTACCAGTGTATTTAATTATCTGATCCACGTGTCTAATACAATAAACATCAAAATGACTCAAATAAATTTTATACATTTTGTTTCCTACCTTTTCCTTAATTAAACCTAGTTGCCAAGTCTCTTTACGTGCATTATACCGAGTCCAAACAANTCCAAACAGTATCACCTAATTCAAAATGTCTTTTAACTGGGACTGGTTCTAACGTGTCTGTTAATTTTGTTGGTAATATCAGATCTAGACGGGAACGTAAACATCTTCCAAACATAAGTTTGGCGGGTGTCTCCTCGGTAGTACAATGCACGGTGTTTCTATAATTAAACAGATAACCTAATAATACCTCATCAATTTTATTGGATGGCAAATTATCTTGAATAATACATTTTAACATTTTTTTACATGTTCTTACTGAATTTTCTGCTTGGCCGTTACTAGGAGGATGATATATGGGTGAAGTCATATATTTAATTCCATTACTCGCACAGAAGGCTTTAAATTCATTTGAATTAATTTTTACATCATTATCAGATACAATTACGAGCGGTATACCGAAAATAGAAAAAATATACTTTAATTTAGATATCAGAGCCCTCGTCGAAGTTCCGCTACTCATGTTCAGGCACTCCAACCATTTACTGAACGAATCAACCACCACCAGGTATACCCTTTGCCCGACAGTCATGTAGTCTATGTGCACGCGCTGCCACGGCGCGGTGGCGGCGGGCCAGGGCGCGGGCGGGTCGCGGGGCGGGGCGGCGCGCGCGCGCGCGCAGGCGGCGCAGGACCCGATCCAGCGCTCGATGTCGCGATCGATGCCCGGCCACCACATTCTGCTACGTGCGTTACTTTTAGTTTTTGAAATACCTAAGTGAGAATCATGTAATTCGTGTAATATTTTCTCTCTTAAAATCGTAGGTATGACTACCTTGTGGCCCCGAAATAGACACCCCGTTTCGTATTGTAGGTCAGACCTACATAAAAAATATGGCAAAATAGATTTACAGCTTATTTTTCGCGGCCAACCAAATTGCATGTATTTTTTTACTATATTAGTTAATTCCCTATCTTGTTCTGTTGCCAGCGCAATATCATGATTTGTAATAGCCGGAGAAACTTCATCTAAAAATATAAGTGCATAATGAGTGTCTACATGTTGGTAACAACTCGATTTGTTATCACTATTATTATCACTCGTAACAGGTGCGCGTGAAAAATAATCTGCAACTAGGTTTTGATCGCTCGACACATATTGAACTATATAATTACTAGCTTTCCGCCCGCGGCTTCGCCCGCGTGGAATTTTGTCTGTCACAGAAAAACTTTATCGCGCGCGTCCCTGTTTCAAAAACCGGGATAAAAACTATCCTATGTTCTTTCCCGGGACTCAAACTATCTCTATGCCAAATTTCATCAAAATCGGTTGCGAGGTTTAAGCGGGAAAGCGTAACAGACAGACAGACAGACAGACAGACAGACAGAGTTACTTTCGCATTTATAATATTAGTTGGGANATTGAAAATTGATACTAAGGGCCTATGATCGGTCTTTAATACGAAAGGTTCACTACGGCCGTACAAATATTGGTGGAAATGAGTAACACCGAAGATAATAGCCGTGGCTTCCTTTTGTATTTGGCTGTAGTTACGTTCGCTCACGGAAAGCGAGCGCGACGCGAACGCCAGCGGGCGCTCCTGGCCGTCGGCGCCGCGCTGCGCGAGCACCGCGCCCAGGCCGGCGGGCCCCGCGTCCACCGCCAGCACCAGCGGCGCCGCGGGCTCGAAGTGCGCCAGCACGCGCTCCGACGCCAGCTCGCGGCGCACCAAGGCCACGCTGCGCTTCTGCCGTTCGCCCCACTCCCATGCAGCGCCCTTACGTAATAGTTCGTGGACCGGGCCTAATATTGATGAAGCGTTAGGAATAAAATTCCTGTAGTAATTTACGACCCCTAAAAATCTTTTTAACTGTGTAACATTTGTTGGCTCCGGTGCGTTCAGTATTGCCTGAACCTTGCTAGGGCAAGTTTTTAGTCCCTCTTTACTTATAACGTACCCTAGATAAGTAACGCTCTCTTGAAAGAAAACACACTTTTCTTTATGTAGCCGTAGGCCGGCGTTATTTAACCTGCTCAAAACTTCGGCTAATCTGGCCATGTGGCTAATCCTATCAGGGCCAGTGATACATATATCGTCGAGCCATATACTTATGCCCTCTATGCCAGATAGAAGTGTTTCCATTGATTTTTGGAATATTGCCGGTGCATTAGCTAAGCCGTACACTAACCTAGTATATTTGAACAGTCCCCTATGTGTATTAATCGCTGTAAGTTTTTGACACGATTCTTCTAAGATAAATTGATTATATGCATTTTTTAAATCAATTTTACTATAATGTTCACCCCCACCAATTTGAGCAAATACATCTTCTATTCTAGGCATAGGATATTTTTCAACTATAAGGTCTTTATTTAAAGTAACTGAAAAATCGCCTGCAATTTTTACTTGACCGTTATCTTTCAAGACGGGCACTATGGGGGTGGCGTATTCCGAGTGGTCGATAGGAACTAGAATACCTAAACTTACTAAACGGTCTAGTTCTTCCTCAATTTTATTTTTAAGGGCAAAGGGTACCGGTCGGGGCTTGTAATATTTAGGAATCGAATTTTCTTTTACTCGTAAATGTACTTTAAATTTATTAAATGTACCCAAATCGTCACTCCATAGATCAGGAAACCTTTTTAACAATGTTTGTATGTTTGAATCATAAGATGAACTTATAGAATTTATTTTTGTAGTAATAATTAAATTAAAAGCGTTCATAAAATCTCTGCCTAGAAGTGGTGGCCCACCGTTTTCTATTACATAAATATTAATTTTTTTAATTATATTATTGAAATAAGCCTCAATTGTAAAATAACCAGAGGGAGAGATTTTGTGACCGTTGTACATACACATTTTGATGTTACATTTTTGAAGTTTATGGTTATAAAACTTTTCTTTGTATAATTTATCGGAAATAACACAACTACCTGATCCTGAATCTAATTCCATAGTGAGATATTGATCTCCTAAGTGTAAATCGATTTGAATTGGCTTATCAGCCACGTACCTTATATTAAAGTTCTGACATTCCTGACATGCCGTGTCCTTGACCTTATTCTCGTCACATTCCGAGCCCGCGTCAACGTGATACACACACGAACCTTTACCACTAGAACCGCACACTTTCTTCAAATGGCCTTTAACACCACACTTTTGGCACTTATAATTTTTGTACCGGCACATTTCACTAGTATGATTCTTCAAGCCGCATACCGAGCAGCGGGCGTCGTCCCGCTGTGCCGCGCCACGCCGCGAGGAGCCGGCCCCGCCGCTGCCGGCGGCGCCGTACCCGCGTCCTGATTGATTCTGGAATCTCGCGCGATACACTGGTTCTTCTTTAATGATGCTGGCTTCGCTAGTGCACATGATTTTTGCCTCCTTAGCACACGCTGCCTGCTCCGCCAGTTCAATCGCCCGTGTCAACGTTAGCTTGGACGGGTTTTGCTCGAAGAGCTTGTCCCGTTCGGGGCCGGAGCCCAGGCCCAAGACGAAGCGATCGACCAAGTTCGTCTCCAAGGCACTGCCGAATTCGCAATAACTTGCAAGACCTCTCAATCGCGCCGCCCAATCGCTTAACGATTCCCCTGGACTTCTACTCGCTCCGTAAAAATTCGCCTTGTCCACAAATGAGCACTTTTTCGGCTTAAAATGGCTATTGAGTAACTGTATCAAGTTATCAAAGCTCAGCGATTCCAACTCGGTAGGGTACGCCAAATTACGCAATAAGCGGTAAGTCTCGTCACTTATGTGTGTTATAAGAATTCCACTTTTATTTTCTTCTTTCACCACATTTATCTTCAGATATTGCGTTAACTTGCCGTAAAATATCGTCCATTCACTGGTTTTGTGGTCAAATGTCGACAGATTTCCGATGAATGCCATTTTGTTTTTGGTTGGGCAAAAAAAATCCTCGTTCGCCAATGATATAAATGAAACACACCGATCGCTTTGAACTCGAGTTTATTACTAAACGATGACAGCGACACAGACATCAACTTTTGTTACTACGAGTACAATGTAGGTAGGTTCTATATATTATGCGCGTAGACGCGCATACACATCACTATGTCCAACAGAGAGAAGTTCTATGTTAGAATAGAAGTCTCCAAAGATTGACGAAGCTGAAATTAGATTAAAGAATATTGCTGTTCAGCTAAATAAAATTATTGCACTTGGAGCACAAAACTTGAAATATGTGCCATATCGTACTCGAAATAACCACGTTTCGTTTTTTCCAATTGCCAGATATGTCCCATACCCCGGCGGGGGTGAGAAGTGGGGAGGGAATGGAGTAGGGGATGACCTCTACTCGTTCGGATTCGACGGCGCCTTCATGTGGTCTGGTGGAAGAAAGACACCTGTGAACAGGACGCATGCTGAGGAGCCTTATATACGGAAAAGTGAGCCTAATTCCTTTACGTTAAGACTCATATTTTACATGATTTATTTACTGTTGGTTGATTAATTATGTTTTACAATGTAACCATTTCACCATTTTTATAGGACTTATCATAATATTGAAGTCTACAAAAAAAACGGACTTGTCATAATATTCATGTCTACAAAAAAGTCACGAAAATGGACGTGTGCCACTTATGGCACACTAGATTGCTAAAGTTGTGACACATTATGTTGCTAAAAAATAGGGGATAAAACTTTACAATGAAAAGCTATGATTTCTAAAGATTTGGATGTAAAAGTTACAGTTACGCTTTAGTTAACAAACAAACAATGTATTTATGAAAGACAGTCTTTAAGTATTTCTCTAATATCTTCATTTACTTTCAGGTGACGTAATCGGCTGTGCTCTAGATTTGACAGTGCCGATTATAAACTTTATGTTCAACGGAGTAAGGGTCACTGGATCCTTCACCAACTTCAACTTGGAAGGCATGTTCTTCCCGGTTATCAGTTGCTCAAGCAAATTGAGGTAAGACCTTTGATGTGAAAAATATTTCTTTCATAATTAGAACATAGCTATAGGCAAATAAAAAAAAGGAAAGATGTTATCAATTACCCAATACAAATGCATTTTGATGGCGTATTTGTTCCTAAATTTTTTGATCAGGCACTTACCGAGTTAAGTGCTAGAGTAATGGTGTTTTTGTAACGCCAAACATCAGCGCGACTTCAGTGTGCCTACCATGAGTTTACGCTAGGTGAGCTCGCTAGCGAATACGTCAAAAAGTTCTATGAAGATTTTATTTCTTGAAAGTAGCCGCTAGGGGCGCTGCACAATATGTCATACATTTAAATGTCATTTTTTTACGCAGTCGCTAGCGAGCACACCTAACGTAAACTCATGGTAGGCACACTAATTTATTTATGCTCTGTCAGGATAGACAGTGACGACATAATATGTCAATATTACCCCTGTCATGCCGCTTCCATACCTCAGGCAACGACTTAGTTTAGCGTAGACCTATTAAATCATCAAATGATTGTATTTAGTTTCGAACCTTAAGGTAGCCTTTCGAACTAAGCGTCACAGACGCAGCGTCTTTAGCTTTGGTCTTAAAGGCAGCCTTTGGAAGCGAGTTAGTGACGCGGCGTTGGTGGCACAAGACCAAAGCTAAAGACGCTGCATCTGTGACGCTTAGTTCGAGAGGCTACCTTTAGTTCGAAACTTAATGTTTTTATAGTTTCATTGGTTTCGAAGTAATCTAGAACTGTCCTTAAAATCGAATCTGCAAATAGTTAGATGAGAATACAGTGGCGTCTTATCTCGTAGTAATACAGGCTATTTTGCAAAAAAAAATAGTTTGATGTGTCGACTACAATATTAATTATTTATCTCTTTCTCCGCCAGTTGCCGCTTCCTTCTCGGAGGCGAACACGGCCGGCTGCGCTACGCGGCGCCCGAAGGCTACTCTCCTTTAGTGGAGTCTCTCCTGCCTCAGCAGATCCTGGCCTTGGAGCCGTGCTTCTACTTCGGCAACTTGGCCAAGCGGGCCCTAGCTGGGCCACCGCTGGTGCAAGACGATACGGCTTTTGTACCCACACCCGTGGATACTTTGCAGGTATGACTCATCAGTGAAGTGTAAAAATGTACGAAATAATATTACCTGGGGCAGAAAAGTTCTCGAATGGCGACCACGGGCTGGACGACGTAGTGTGGGACATCCACCCACAAGATAGACCGACGACCTTATAAACGAAGCAGGAAGGCGCTGGATGCAGGCCGGTACCAACCGAGTGATATGGAAGTCATTGGAGGAGGCCTATGTTCAGTAATGGACATCCTATGGCTGAAATGACGATGATGAAAATGTACAATGCTTCTACTTCGGCAACTTGGCCAAGCGGGCCCTAGCTGGGCCACCGCTGGTGCAAGACGATACAGCTTTCGTGCCTACACCGGTGGATACTTTACAGGTATTTACCTTTCATATGTGAAATCGGTGTTATTAGTGTGTAAAATGTACAATACTTAATGGCTACTTGGCCAAGCGGGCCCTAGCTGGGCCACCGCTGGTGCAAGACGATACGGCTTTTGTACCCACACCCGTGGATACTTTGCAGGTATGTGAAGGTGAAAGTCCTCACCACTGAGTTTCTTGTGCTAGTTCTTATCAGCACTGGCCCAGTTATTGTCCTGAAGTAATGGTAGAGTTATAACTGGGACGTGTAAAAGCTATTTTCAAACTTAATTACTTTTATGACTTTTAAATAAAAATTCCTTCATCATGCATCCTTATAAATAAACTATTTTTTCTTTCTTTTTCAGATTACTTTGCCGTCGTATGTCGAACAAATCAGAGACAAACTAGCAGAGAATATCCACGAAATGTGGGCCATGAATAAGGTAAGTCCAATGTCAATATAAAGTCCTCAAATGATTGATTTTAACTGTTAAATGCAATAATTTTCTCCAAGGGACTGAAGTAAAAACATTGAAAAAAAAAACTTTCTATTTGAGCCATCAGCAATCAGTAATTTATCATGGAGATATCAATGTGTTATTTGAGAATATGTTGGCCCGGTAAGAAAATTAGTTATGTATATGTCAAGAATAGAATCGACCCTATATGTTTCACCATATACAATAACACCTTTCTCACATTTCAGGTATTATTAAATTAGTACACTAATTTGATTTTTTTTCGTAGATTGAAGCGGGATGGATGTATGGAGATCAGCGCGAAGACTTGCACAAGATCCACCCGTGCTTGGTGCCGTTCGAGCGGCTCCCCGCCGCTGAGAAACGATACGACATCCAGTTGGCGGTGCAAACACTCAAGTAAGTAACTATAAACGCCTTTTATTTCTGAAAAAACACTATTAGACGCCTGACCGTAGTGCACCTCAATCCATTGCAATCTTTTGCGCTTCTCTTCCTTATATGATTAAACCAAACCAAAGAAAAGAATTAAATATTCCTTCCGAATAGAGCAACAACCACGAGTTATCAAACGAAACCGATTTTAGGATGACTGGATGTCATTGGTGTTAGTTTCCAGAATTATTTCACGGTTTTGTATAATAAATCAATCACTGAACCAGTCACCACGCTTCCGAAGCACTATCTAAGATTTTCAACGTTAGCCAATAAGTGCTGACGAACTGTCAAAACAGTTCTGTTACGTTGCATAACGCATCTCTTTTTATCACATATTGATGCAGCTAGTGACATCTCGCTTGCTCAGTCCTTTGTTACTCTATTCCACTAGGTATATTAACTGTATGGATTAATATTCAATTTCTTTCAGGACTATTCTTGCTCTCGGCTACTACATCAGCCTTGACAAGCCCCCAGCGCGTATCCGCAACGTTCGTCTGCCCAACGAGCCTTTCATGCAGGCAAGTAGTTATCTTACATACCCAATCCTTGATTACATGCCACAGTGTGTTCAAGTTCTCACGACAATTTAGTATTTATTTCATCGCTCTCTGATATAATAATGTCGTCCAAGTAAATAAAAAAAAAACTTTCTACTGTTTTGTGATTTTACAATTTAATCTATTTAAAATGTATTGCGGATCAAAAATTATCCCACTGAGTATAATATTTTACTAAAAATTCTCATTTCTATTTGACAAAATCCTTTTCATGAGTCATCAGAACCTAGTTTTAAAGGAAGTGGAATTAAATTGATTTTTGTTTAATTATTATGTTGTCTAACTGCTTTACGGTTTCCTCCCCAGTCGAACGGTTACAAGCCAGCACCCTTAGACTTGAGTGCTGTCACCCTAACACCAAAGATGGATGAGTTAGTTGACCAGCTTGCTGAGAACACTCACAATCTTTGGGCTAGGGAGCGCATCCAGCAAGGATGGACTTATGGACTCAATGAGGTCAGTTACATTACTTAATTTTTTTATTATTGTCTATTATATTACGTATTGTATTATAGGTCGCGCAAAGAAAGTTGAGGCGAACACATACTCACACTGATGTAATATTTGAATCCAGCATACGCAAGACGTCAGCGTGACAAGCGATTTTGTATCTGTATACGCTTTTCTTCTTTGCTTGTGTTGATGGCCTCAACTCTTGTTCCGCGAGCTATATGATTTTTTATTTACATACATGTAAATAATATGTATAGTTTCGCTTTTGCAATGTCAATTAGCCATATATTTATTTGTATTATTTTTATGTTTATTTAATGTAGTTAATGTTATATTCGCTCCTACTGCTAATTTTATATAATTTAGTTTCTTTGTCTTCGTGATTACTGACTTGGCCAAACCCGAGAGCTGCGACTCTCACACTTAATATGTCACTAGTATTTATACTAGGTGTGAGGGTCACAGCTAGTTGTGTTTGGCTTTCATCAGCAGTAAAGATTATTGTTATGTTATTTTTTTTTATATTCTTATTATCTTTGTCATGTTAGATTACAATAGCTGTAACTGTCACATTTGTTTGCATTACATCATCGAACATAACTGTTTTATTTGTTGTAAATACACTTGTATCTTTTTCATTCTTTTCTGTTCTGTTTAAATACAACAACTGTGACTCTAACACTTAATATTTATGACTCATACTTGGTGTTAGGGTCACAGTTTGTTGTGTTTGATCATCATCATCAATTTTGGTTATTCATTTGTTTTGTTTTACCATCGACTTCATCTACAAGGCAACGTCGCATCGATTGTCTTAACATTTTTCACGTAAGGGCAATTATGACAGCTGTGACTCTCATACTAAATATTTTACTAATCTATACTTGGTGTGAGGGTCACAGCTAGTTGTGTTTGACCGTTATCATCAGTGTCAACATCCAACAGTGAAGCTGTGTATTTATTAGCTTTTATTATTCGTGTTATTTTTGTGTATTATAGCATTCACATGATTTCCATAATTTATTCTTGTTTATTTTTTTTTTCGTGTCTTTATTTATTTTAGTTTGTCTGACCATGACAGATATGACAGCTGTGACTCTCACACCTAATATATCACCTTCACTACTAGGTGTGAGGGTCACAGCTAGTTATGTTTGTGTTTATCTTCAATCAACATAAGAAGACATCGTATTACTGTGTTTTTATTGTTATAATACTTAATTATGCTTATTTATTTGTGTAATTATATCTAAGTATATGTTTACGAATAATGCATGAAGATACCTTATATTATTTTAGTCAGTAACTTGATATCTGAACTGTTATTTTTAAGTTTCTTATTGGCCGAAAACCACGTAATAAATTACAATCTCCTTTAGATACTGTGACTTAACATATTTTTTTAAATAGATCGTTACATGTCTTTTGCATTCACCTTCTTGTCTTTTTATTTGCCGCCAGACTCCTGAGTCTGTCCAGCCGTTTCCTGAAACGGCTGTAAAGTTATTAGACCTACATTTGTGTTTATTTTTAACATTCAATAAATAAAGTATCTTACTATCTCATCTTGCAATTCTCCCAAATGATCTTATGCGACTTCTCGTAGATTTTAATCATCCCAGAAGATTTAATCCATCATATCGAATATAAGTACGCTATACTTAAATTATTTTATACTTTTAGGACCCCGACATGCACCGCTCGCCGCATCTGGTGCCGTACCCAAAAGTGGACGACGCGATCAAAAAGGCCAACCGGGACACCGCGTCTGAGACTGTCAGGACTCTGTTAGTCTATGGATATAATTTGGATCCGCCCACAGGAGAGCAACACGAAGGTATGTTTTTTTACTACTTATAAAAAAAAATTTCTGCGAACCTAACCCTACAAGGACCTGTTTATGACAGTTTAACTTTCCCCCGGGACAAACTTGACCTTCATTGATCGGGTTTTTATGGCGGTCAAGCTGTAGATCCTGGTACACAGGACTTGCAGTGGTGGGAACGAGAGGTGGGAATAGTCCCGTTTGTAAATCTAGGTATAGAAGTGACACGGGAAAGTGTTTTTGTATCGTTAAAAGTCAGCGTAGCTTCAGGGTGCGTAGTTTATATCAAACGTATTCGATATCGACTATTCTAATAAGACAAAAATGGCATTAAATGTATGACGGATTGTATAGCGCCCCTAGCGGATATTTGCAAGAACTAAAATCTTCATAATTTTTTTTGACGTAAACTCACACTACACCCCCTGATCTCCTTTAGATTTAAGCTTTGTGCCGTCATAATATGTCAAATATCACCCCTCCCGTGCCGTTCCCATACCTCTGGCACTGAGTTAAGCGCTAGATATATTATTATGTATAAATTTTATAAATTTCTCCAATGAATTCTGAATTTTATCTCTTTTACATAAAGTTAAAACCCCTTTCATACAATCACTTTTCTCGTGGATGCACGGCAGTAAAAATATTGTTTGTTACAGCATTGCTAGCTGAAGCCTCGAAACAGAAACAAGCTGATTTCAGGACGTATAGAGCGGAGAAGAATTACGCAGTCAGCTCTGGAAAGTGGTACTTCGAGTTTGAGATCCTGACTGCTGGGCCGATGAGGGTAAATATTTATAGTATTTTGATAAAGTTGTTGGGTAAAGTTCCCAATGCTGCTAATAGATGGCGCTGTATACATTTTAGCTGGCAGTGGCGAGTGACTGCTATTATTAGCTACACTACTATTACAAATATCACACTGTCAGCGTAAATAGCAATAAATAAATCCTAAATTGACCGATCCGAAGTCTGGTAATCATTGGGGGAGGCTTATGTTCAGCAGTAGACGTCCTGTGGTTGAAATCGTAGATGACATAAAAACGACAAAGTAACAGATATTATGCAAAAATTAGGCCTCCCCAACCCGTCTGGCCAGCGTGGGGAGTAAAAGCCAAATCCTCCATTTGCCTCTGATGATTATTGAGGGACTACCCTCCTCTTGCAGTGGAGACTCAATGGCCTGATAATTATGATGATGATGATGAAATCATTAAACAATACTAAACTCTTTGCTATCTCCTATCACAGGTTGGTTGGGCCCACGCTGATATGGCCCCAGGAATGATGCTGGGGCAAGACGAAAACTCCTGGGCTTTCGACGGTTACAACGTAAGTTCACAATTTATCTATCTACCTTTATTTTTAGAGTAAGAATATATTTTGAGAACTTCTTGAGAAGTTAAGATTTACTGGAGTGGAAATGAAACAAGTAGACAACCCTTTTTTGAAAAACTTGAGCGTTTAGACATTATTTATTTTAAAATACTATGTTTCAAACTTTGTTTATTTCTTAGCTCAAAATGACATTACATATTGTGATACGGTATTATTTTTAGAGGACCAATTTGTCAGGTTCGATTCCTGAATGAAATATTAAATATATTTTCATAATCAGTAAGAAATTCTATTACTGCTAACTTGAAAGTCTCAAAATGCCATTCTCATCACAGTACTTTTCTAGCATTTCTATTGTAGTTTTTTTTAGGATATTTTTGATTCTACATTATAAAAATGAAAGTTAGTTTTTATATGCTATTTTAATATATTATGAAAGTTAAAATAACACAATACGCAGTGTGTAAAAGTCCACGGTGGCTCGAACGACGCATTCGGACAGCAATTCAAAGTGGGCGACATAGTCGGATGCTTCCTGGATGTTTGGGATATGACCATCAGTGAGTCGGACAATAAGCTGTCTTGATACTTGAATAACGCAGCTTAAGAGAAATTGGTACTTTAAATTGGGAAAATGTTGATTGAAGACCATTGGTTTCTAAAAATCTAAGCTATTATTGAAAGAAATAAGGGGACTACTAATGAAAGGTCCACCCAATCAATGATAAGGATTTTTGGCGTTTAAAAACATTATGTACTTACATATCTAGCAAAAACATAGGGAGATGATTTTCGGCATTCAAAATTGATAGTTTTATTTCGATTTACATACTTACTTGCACAAACTTATTTTGTTCTTACAAAAAGATAGGGAAATGATTTTTGGCATTCAAAATTATTTTGATTTCTTCGCACAATTTTATTTTGTACAAAAATTGGACTACTTCACAACTATGATCAAAATTAAAATCCAAGATAAAAGACCATGATATTAGTAAAAATTTGATGATTTGAGTTTGTAAAAAGTATCAAGGGAGAATTTTGATATATCAATGTCTATGTTGTTAACATGTGGTAACATTTAATGTGTCCTAAATCCCTAAATGTTGCCTGTATTCATTGTTTTCTCCCTCTCCAAATTCTTAATTAATACCTCTTCTTATGTATTTCAGAATTAGCTAATAGCAAAATTGTTAAATGTCACATTTGTGTCATAAAAATCACGTACTTGTTGGATGTTTTACCACCATAAGTATGCATAGATTTTCAGTAAAAAGTAGCAACATTATGATTGTAATAGATAAAAGTAAGTCCATGCTAAAGTCAGAATAATCAATGTTTATTAAATTATCAGAGTTGTTTCTTGTATTTCCATCTTGAAAATTGTATTTTTACCCTCAAAATTCATTACTAGGGTTGCCAATAGTTCAACCCAACTTTTTCATCGATATTTTGATTTTGAAACGTGCATTTTTCCCGAATTTTCAAGGAGGAAAAAGTATACAGCGGTAGCACAGAGTCTTTTGGCAAGCAGTGGGCGGTCGGCGACGTTGTGGGGGTCTTTTTAGACCTGATAGATAAGACGATAAGTAAATATCACGTGACGCCTCCTCCATTCAACACCAAGCTTTGGCTGGCTTTGGTAGATCTGTGGCAAGAATGTTTTAAAAATATTTTTAGAGGATGGGCATCTTATGTACAGTTGCCAGCAAAAAAACTGCCATGAAATGGTGTCCTGCAATGTATTTTAAACTTAATTTACTGATTGAGTAGCAGAAATATTGTGCTGGCAATAAGAGGACAGTCAAACCTTATTATTTTTATTGCTGGTCAAAAACTTCATAAATAGATTTTGTTCGAAACTTATTTAGAAAACCTGTATATTAGTTGGTGACTATGTCATATTATGGCATAATCCATCCAGAAAAAATTATCTTTAAGGAAATCTAAGTCCTCCTTTATAAGTATTCTTGCCACACTGCTAAAAAGCTTTTAGAGTTATTCCAGAGCCGTAACGCATCAAAATTCATGACTGACATCGCTTCCAAATAATACCAATTACGGGCACCGCATCGCTTCGCTTGGTTTTTCAAATTTGAATCAGCACTGAATACATTTTGATTTGAATTGTTTTGAAACTGACGCTCGCCACGTAGGTATTTTCTTATCATAGCACGGAAACTTTCAGTTTTTAATTATGTAGTTTTTTTTTTGTATTTTTGACAGCCCTGATCTGTAACTTACAATAAAAAAATAATTTTCCCAGTGATTTATTAAATTTAATAAAGTCTAAAGTCGTATGGGGAAAATATATAAAAAAATATAATTAAAACATTAAAACACAAAAAATATTCAACAAAAAATGATTTTTTGAGCGCTGTCATTGTAAAGAGTTTCCTTTATTGTACAGTCATGGGCAAAAGTAATTATAAGTAATAACGTGAACATTTTTCATTAATATTTTGTGATATCAAACTGAAAGTTTTCAATGTCACACGTAAAATGAACCACAATTTTCCGAATTCCAAAACCTATCGAAATAGCATGACTAATTATTTAGGCAGGTAGGTAGCCTAATAAATTAAATTAAATTAATGATTTAAATACTCAAAACGTATGTTCAGAATTTTGACGCCTTTCTTGCCTTTGAAAGAGCAGCTTTCAATTTTTTTAGAGTTTTATCTATTAGAGATTAATTCTTGTTCAGTTTGAAGTAGTTATTTAGATAATTAGATTAGATTCTAGATAGTTAGTTACATTAACATAATCCATAAGACTAAAATGTGTGATTAACTCCATTGGTTTGCCATGACTAGTTGTAAAACAGTTTTGTCGTAACTAACATTTATAGCTCATTTGTGTTGTTTGCACTTCTATAGAACTAATATTTAACTATTAACAAAATAACAGTAACCTGTGAATATATTTTTGGCTATTTTGTGAACTAGAATATTGTAGTTTAGGTTTTTTCATTAAAGTAACACTGTTGGATATTTTTTAAAGTATTTTTACTTTTGCTTGCCATACGAATATGTGAAAAGATATATTTTCAAAGTTGTTTTTTACAGTTTATTTAAGCTATTGCATACAAGGTTACTGAAAAACATAACTTAGTTTTTTTTATCAAACCAGCTGGGCCAGCTGTTCCAATCTATTCAACGAAAAGCTACTTAAGTAAAACAAAGTAAAATTTTAAAATACTTGTTCAATACGAAGCAGATGTACTCGTATGCCAAAAGCATCTGCCGTAGGGAATTCCGCAGAAATCGCCCCCTGACTATTTTTTTTAAATTATAACTATTCTAGCCAGGAGCTATGTCCATTGGCCGCAAACTTTCTTCAAGTATCTTTCCTGGCCTGGAATTTTGTCCATTGGCCAAATACTTGTAAAATAATGTTTCCATGAGATTTTCTGGCCATTTACTATTGCCATATTTCTAATTATTCATGTTATATCAGGTTTCTCGCTCAATGGAGAGTTGTTGATGGACGCACTCGGTGGTGAGACAACATTTGCTGATGTACAAGGAGATAACTTCGTTCCCGCTTGTACTCTTGGAGTGGGACAGAAGGCCCGGTAAGAATACTATATCTATTTTAAGGTACCTTCTTAATACTGGCAAAATGATAATGTTTGTGTTTGAAAAATGAGTAATTTTGACTTTCATAATAATATTATAATATAAACATTTTATTATTTTTCTTCAATAGTTTTGAAAAGAAGAATACTTATGTATGAGCACCGTTAATTCAGCATTTTATCGTCTTTTTTTCTTTTTCAGGCTGACATACGGACAAGACGTTAACACTCTAAAATACTTCACAACTTGCGGTCTTCAGGAAGGATACGAGCCTTTCTGTGTGTAAGTATAGTAATAATTATTATTTGTTTACAATTTCCTAAAAATGTTTTTTGATAATGAATTCTAATAAGTCATCTTTACGTGACGACTGTACTTTTTCGACGTAATTTGACAGGAACATGAAGCGTGACGTCACCCACTGGTACACCAAGGACCAACCCATCTTCGAAAATACGGATGAAATGCTGGACACCAGGATAGATGTTACCAGGATCCCAGCTGGCTCCGGTAAGTAGTTCATTCGTTCGTTCGTTTCAGCCAAATAACGTCCACTGCTGGACAAATTATTTCCACAACGACTGCTTCTGCGCTGCCCGCGTCCAAAGACTTCTCGCGATCTTCACCAGATCGTCGGTCCACCTAGTGGGAAGCTTGCTCAGGCCCATGGTCGCCACTCGAGAACTTTTTTGCCCCAGCGACCATCAGGTCTACAGGATGTGGTTTAGATCTCCTAATTTCTGGCTCGATCACGCAGGGAAACTCCGAGCATAGTACCAATAAGTAGCAAACAACCATTACTTTTTATAGCAGCAATCCGTACTAAAATGTCTGTCTTTTTGAACCAATTAAAAGTAAAAGTAAAAAAGTATTTATTACTAAAAGATGTCACATTGTACAGTCACGGAATGAAAAGGTTCGTCAGTTTTCAAATTGATTCCTTCAACGAATCGCGAGCACATATTACCTTTTGAAACTATGTTACAGAATAATCTCGAGTTAGAGAAAATAATCTTTAACTGTTCGTCAGTAAAGTTCAAAATTATTCAGATCAAAGTTGTTTGACGATTTATCTTGTCAAGATTAATATGATTGATAAACTAAAACCTTCTTGTTGGTTCAACCTGCCATTATTATTTATATTAAATAAAAAAAACTACATTTTGTAACTTTGCATGGGATAGAAAATTAAACAAGCAAAACCTTATTCGTTAGCAACCGTCATATTTATTTAAATGTTAGCAGCACTGTTTTTTGCACTGTTATGTTGGCAGGTTTGACTCTTACAGTACCGAGTGCAAGCGAAAACCGACACTAAGGTGACGAACCTTTTCATTCCGCGACTGTACAGTACAGTCACGGAATGAAAAGGTTCGTCAGTTTTCAAATTGATTCCTTCAACGAATCGCGAGCACATATTACCTTTTGAAACTATGTTACAGAATAATCTCGAGTTAGAGAAAATAATCTTTAACTGTTCGTCAGTAAAGTTCAAAATTATTCAGATCAAAGTTGTTTGACGATTTATCTTGTCAAGATTAATATGATTGATAAACTAAAACCTTCTTGTTGGTTCAACCTGCCATTATTATTTATATTAAATAAAAAAAACTACATTTTGTAACTTTGCATGGGATAGAAAATTAAACAAGCAAAACCTTATTCGTTAGCAACCGTCATATTTATTTAAATGTTAGCAGCACTGTTTTTTGCACTGTTATGTTGGCAGGTTTGACTCTTACAGTACCGAGTGCAAGCGAAAACCGACACTAAGGTGACGAACCTTTTCATTCCGCGACTGTACAAATTATTCTGCACTAAGTAAGCAGGAAAGCTTGTATCGCAGCAGCCAATACGAACAATTACCTTAAAAATAATGACATCGGTCTTGATAGGACGGAAATGTTTAAACTAGTTAGGCTTAACATTTATAATGTGTTAAAATACATAGTTTATATTATAAATCTGTTCGAAATAAATATTAATAACATGATATTATATTGTTCTAGAAACACCACCTTGCATGAAGATCTCTCACAACACATTTGAGACCATGGAAAAGGCCAACTGGGAGTTCCTACGGTTGTCTTTGCCCGTCATATGCCAGGCACAATTTATAGGGTAAGTTCGATGTACGATCACTTTGATGTACACACGCCCACACTGTTAACAATCCATTTCCGTTTTTGCTCTCGCTCTAATCAAATGGCGATTCTTTGCGATAGAACGAGATGACATGACTTTCAATGGGCAGTTAACACTGTTGGCGATAGTACCTATTCGAGCTATAGTCCAAAACCAAATGTTGGGACGTCCACAAGTGGACAGATGACTGCACGTCCACAAGTGGACAGATGACTGCACGTCCACAAGTGGACAGATGACTACAGGTCCACAAGTAGACAGATGACTACAGGACGCCGCAAAATGCAGGCCGCTTCCAACCGGCTAATTTGGAAAGCATTGGAAGTGGAAATTGTTCAACCCGAGACGTAAATGATGATGATGATGATGATGATGATGATGATGATGATGATGATGATGATAGCCTAAACTATGCATTATTTAATACAATATTGAAATTACAACCGCTGGCCTATTGCGGTGAACCCTCTCGTAATACAAGCATTTTAACTTAGCACAAGGGGTTCACGGGGCTATTACAGACGTAGCACACTAATCACCCCGGAAAGGGATCGTAACCTTATCAACTCGAGGCGGTCAGTATTCTTTGTATGAAACTCCATACTGCAACGCACACTTATCCGCACCGGCGCTCCTGCACACGACGCCGCCACCGCGCCGCCGCCGCGCCCCTACACTGTTTATACTCGCCGCGTGAAGCCCGCTGCCGCGCCGCCGCCGCGCCGCTGGCTAAATCAAAGTCAAAGTCAAAATTTATTTATTTGTTTAGACTAATAAATAGTTCTTACAAATCGTCATATGCTCTTAAGGAGCCTCTACATGTCTCATAATCTTTTTACCCTACCAGCGCTTCGAGACCAACATTTGGCAAGTGCTGAGAAGAAGCGCCGCAACAAACTCAGTCGCCACTGTCTGCCGGTTAATATAAATAAATAGAAATAGTAGTAGTAGGTACATTCGATTCAGGAGCAGTTCACTGAATTTACCATGCATTCTTGTATGGTGTATCATAAGAATGGGGAGGTATACAAGATTGCGTGGTATATTAAACAAGGTAGTGACGTGCTAATATCTAGACTTACATATTAAGGTACTAGTAGAAATGACTCGCATACATAAATTTGAATAATTTGGATTGACCAGTCCCCGAAAGCAGCGCCTGTTCACAGACATGACGAGTGAACCAGCCATCGCTTCACTCGACCATATTAGAGGGAATGTAACGACCCGCCTCACTACGCCACCACCCCAGAGACATTTTAGTGAGAATGACAATGCCAAGTTATCTCTTTAAAAAAAACTAATAATAAAGCTAAGTAACAGTCCAGATTGAGAAGCATGACACTATAACATTTGAGAAATAAATAAATTATGCTTTGATGGCGCGGTGGCGGCGCGGCGGCGGCGCGGCGGCGGCTTTACTCGGCGCGAATGAACAGTGTAGGGGCGCGGCGACGGCGCGGCGGCGGCGCGGTGGCGGCGTCGTGTGCAGGAGCCCTAACGTAAACGCCTCGCGATTGACAGCGAGCGAAAGGCTATGACAGCTCGCGAAAGGCAATACAGCGTTGATCCCTTCCAGAGTAGATAAGTCTGTATGACCTTTAGACTCATTATTATACTATGCTAGTATTAGTAATCTGTTTCGATTTATTTTTTAACTGTCTATCTACCTTTGTTTTATCCAGTGAACAAGAGAAAGCCAGAAGATGGGTGGAGATCAAGGAACGTCAACAAATCCTGATGAAAGAAGCGACTGAAGCCCAAATGCCAGCCCACATCGATCAGATTATGAGAAGCGGGTTCACCATGAATGATATCAAAGGTATGTAATAAATACACTAAAAATATCTTTAATTTATTTTAGAATCTCCCAATTTGTTAATTTTTTACCACCTTTTACTAATTTTAGTTTGCACAGTTTTTTTAGACGCCCCATATAATGGATGACTCTGCATTTTTAAAGAGAAATTGAGTTTGGATTCTCGGTTCGGGATCATAATAAAGAAATCAAACAAAAGCATCATTTTCTTACCCAAAAAAAGTACAGATAACTTAAATAAATATAGGTACTGTCATGATAATAAAGTCAACCAAATTGTATGGACTAGCAGATTGTTTTTTCGCTGTCACTGATCCGATTGAAAAATATCTCTGGGGTGGAAACGATAAGTGATCTCGCTTGATTATTTCTAAACTATACAACAGGGGTGGCCAACCGGTCGATCGTGGCAAGAAAAAAATACTACATGATTGTGTACTAAACTATGCTGTTTCATTTAAGATTTCAAGAAATATGTAAGTGGTAATCACCCAGGGTTTCGTTAGTAAACAGTAGATCTTATGTCTAATCAAGTTGGCCACCCCTGCTATACAAGATATCAAAAAACTGGTTACAGATCCTGAAAGTGCTTCACGAGCTCTATCAATCGGTATCAATAATAGGTTACACAATAAACTGGATCTATCCAAAAACTCAATGTTTTGTTTTGGAAAATGTAGAGTCATCCCTTCGCCCCAAAAAGTCCTGCTTCCACGTTACTTTGCCCGTAACCCCCACGGCTTATCACACCCTGCCTGTCCCAAGGTCTGCACTACGAAGATAACCAGGACGACGTCCAGTCAAAGATGAAGAGGCAGCCTTCGAGACCCCCCCGCAAAGGCTCGGTGACGCGAGGCGTGACGTATCAGCAAGGTTGAATAGCTGCTTGATTTTCGTTCTGTGCTGTCTCATTTTTTTCAGCGTTTGCAAACTGTCGCCAGTCGTTGAGGTTTAAGGTGTGTGCACATTAGTGCGGGGCATTTGCGGGGCGTACGATTTCATGCAAAGATAATCCTATATTTTTTTGCCAATTTCTATGTGCAGAGTAAAACTTGATAAATTGATAGGTTATCTATCAATTATGTATAAATAAATGTAACATGCCCCGTAGTAATATGAATATATCTCGCCTTAATATTATGTTCAATTAAAACGTCATCAACATAATATTTTGACACTTTACAGAACACCACCTAACAATAATAATCTCATTAAAAAATATTGGAAAATAATGTCACAAAATTGACAATTAATTTCAACAAATAATATTTTATTAATTTCTTTTTTCAATATTTAGTAGATTACTTCATAGTAATTGATTATCTTTGACCTATTCTATTGCCTATGGTATCACAGTTATTAGATACTTAGTAATTTTTTACTTCTTTTAACCTTCTCATAAATATTATTAGTGATACTTCTTTGTTCAAGTTCGTATATTAGGAACTTATTTGACTTTTGTGTATTAAAATAATTTCAGTAAATATTTCTCACATTTTCGTCCATATAACTCTTCTAGCATCTTTTAAACTTCTAGCTCACACAATCTGTATCAAAATCATAATCTCAAACCTAACTCTTCACTGCACTTAACTGTTTTATCTTCAACTTTATTTCTTGTGCAATAATGTGCATTTTCCTTGCGAAGGTCAAGTAAACGGCATGCATAGGTCGACGAGCGAAGCCGAGATGTCTAAATACGAGTTGGGCGTCCAAAACCTGGCCGATGAAAAGAAGGATAAAAGAGGAAGATCGCCTTTCAAGTAAATATACATACATTAATGATTTATTTACCTAAATATTTTAGTTCCCTATTATTTTTAGCCGTTTTTACCAACTGACCGGTTACGAAAAGCGACATAATGAAATGTGAATTTACTAGTTGACGCCGTATCATGTCTGTCTTATTCTTGTTAGTAAAGAAATTCAGTGCTGGACTAATAGAAACTTAAATAATAAAAACTGACTCTATTGGAGTGTTAGCTGCTTCAGTCTACTTAATTTATATTAATTTTTGTTCAAAAAAATGTCAATTTACATTGGTGCTGACTTAGAGATACTTTTGATGTCGATATTATGTTAGATTTGACTCACATCTACTTTGGTACCTTGCTACGTAGTAACGACTAACGAATGCTTTTTTACTTTGTGTAGAGGCACTTTTCTTCTAATATTTATCTTCATTTGCATTATCCTTGAAGGTTCTTCAAAAGCAAACGCGGCGAGAGCGGAGACCGAGCGAAGTCTCGCAAATCGAAGACTCCAGATCCCTTCAGTGACACGGAAGTCTCTCCTGAGAGAGGTCCGAGGAGACCCAACCCTCAAATACGAGTTTCACAGGTGAATACCATCTCAAAAGATCGCGTGGTTTGAGTTTGTTTGCTCTGAATGATTGTGTACCCTATAAAGTTTGGTACTTGATGTTTTGGTCAGAAAATCCAAACTAAAATCGGACACACAAGATACTCATTTACTTATAATGTATCCAAAATTATGCCCAAAACTTAGTGAATTATTCCTTCTAAGAATGTTTTGAATTAATGTGTTAATAATGAGTTATTTTAAATGTATTTACATCTGTGATTAAACATTGCATTTGCATCAAATGAAGCTACATCAGTACGTTTCCAATAAAAATAAGTCGACTAATAATTAAAAATGGTATAAGTACCTTTTTTGTGATAAGTTTACATTAGGAAACGAGGCCCTTTGGGAAACTTATCACCATCAATATCATCAAGCCAGAGATCACCATTAGACAAAAAAGCAGTAAATTTCCTTTACTTCAATATTTTGAAGGTCTCACGAACTTACACATTCCTACATGGTGCGTTCAATTTGTCAGTATCTGGAATTTTGACGAACGCCCCACGCACGACCCACTAACGCCCCGTTGCAATGTGAACTATCATTAACACTACTGGTGAACTCTGGCCTAAGGAAGTTTTTCTGGCATTTTGTTTGTTTTTTGTTAATTTTGTGTTGACTGTACCCTTTTTTCCTAAGGCGAATCAAAGATATGACAACATGCTCCCAAGAGCTAGTAAACCCACCTTGTATGACAGCCAAGGAGGTTTGAACGTAAGTCCTAGCGACTTTATGGCTAACACGATTGTCTATGGTTTCTTACTAACTTCTCTTGTTAATAAAACTTTTTTTTTCTAGCATAGATTAAAAACTTTTTAATTTATTTCTTCAGATATAAGTGACATCTTTTGTTATAATTCAGAGAATAAAAATAATTTGTACAAATATTTAAAGTTGCTTTAGTTTCTTCCGCCACTTTTTTATGGTACAGTCAGCGTCAAATAGTTCGTGACGTGACACCCAAAGTAGCCAAAAAGTTCGCAACATGCCTTTTGACATGACACTTTGGGTGTCACGAAGGTCACGACGAACTACAATTTGACGCTAACTAGCCGATATTTTGTTCCGAATTGGGTCTTGTATAAATATTTTACTTGCCTCTATACAGGGTGTTAGGTAAATGGGTATATGAGCCGACACTAACCCATGTTAACATGGTCATATAAATGGTATGGTGAAGTCAGAAAATTGATATCTTCATTTTAATTATTTTAATTTTCATACAAATCGGATTTTATAAAAAAAAAATTGTATGAAAATTAAAAAAAATAAAATGATGAAATCAAATTTCTGACTTCACCATACCATTTATATGACCATGTTAACATGGGCTAGTGTCGGCTCATATACCCATTTACCTAACACCATGTATAAGCGCAAAAATATTTATTAAAGCATTCGAATAATGATATCTTATTTTCTATTAAAATTCCATACTTAAAAACACATGATCAATTAAAGAGCTTAAAATTCATTTGAACGTATCTTAAATTCCCAAAAATAAGTAAAACCTATCAATACGTGTGTATTTCAAACCGTTATCTGTTCAAAGACTGACAATCAACAGACCAACCTGCAAATGGCGACTCCGACGCAAGACCGGAAGCAGATGACCACTAGTGCCCTTTCTGCGGCCACCACAGAAACTGTGGGCAACGAGATTTTCGACGCGGAGTGCTTGAAACTGATCAACGAGTACTTTTATGGTGTCAGGTAATATTATTTATCATAGAGAACCTGTTTTAAATAAGTTAATAATCTACATACCTCGACCTACTAATATCAATGTTTTTTTATTGAAACACTAGCTTTCCGCCCGCGGCTTCGCCCGCGTGGAATTTTGTCTGACACAGAAAAACTTTATCGCGTGCGTCCCTGTTTCAAAAACCGGGATAAAAACTATCCTATGTTCTTTCCCGGGACTCAAACTATCTCTATGCCAAATTTCATCAAAATCGGTTGCGAGGTTTAAGCGGGAAAGCGTAACAGACAGACAGACAGACAGAGTTACTTTCGCATTTATAATATTAGTTGGGATTGAGGTAATAAATTATGCAAAATTCTTTTAAAAAGGTAGAAAACCCAGTGGCAACTTAGCTAGTGCTACTATTAGCCTAAATTAAGAGAGTGGTGTTAAAAGCTTACGATCAGAGGGCTTAGTGCGAGTTTACATAAAAAGCGCGTCAAAAAATGACATTAAAATGTATGACGGATTGTACAGCGCCCCTAGCGGCGCTAGCGGGAAACGTTCAAAAACTAAAATTTTCATACATTTTTTAAACGCGCTCACCATTTTGATGTAAACTCACACTCGGCCCACAGATGACCCTGAAGCTTGTTTGAACCCTCATAAATTAGGAAAAGAATTAGACACAGATGTTTTTTATTTGGCAAAGTAAATGTAATTGCGCATCGTCATTTGTTACATTAATAGTCTTCCGTAACAACAGATGCGTGAAAGAATAATGTATTAATATCAGTACGAACTAAAAGTATGGTCCTTCGAGCCAGATGTTTCATAAGTTCAGTGGGTGTTTAAATAATTTGAACAATGTTTTTGTTTACATTCAGAATATTCCCCGGTCAAGACCCGACGCACGTTTACATCGGATGGGTGACCACGCAGTACCACCTGCACTCCAAAGACTTCAACCAGAACAAAGTCATGAAGTCGTCAGTCATCATCACTGATGACTACGACCGGGTTGTGGAGAGGTAAGTTTTTGGAAAGATATTTACACCCGTATTCACCTTAAGGCGATTAGAGTCCTCAATGATNTATTCGGTCACCACTCACTCGCCCATCGTTCACCTTTATTTGTCGTCGGCGGTGGGCGCTTCATTTCGTTCCCCACTCATTTAATCTATCGTTCGTCCGTCCTCCAACGTTCATTCGTTATCCACTCACCTTCTTGTCTTTTGCGTTCAGAGGTAAGGCGGACTATTGCTCGCAGTCCGCAAAAATACAGTATCTTTGCTCACTCACTCATTTATTCCTTCACTCGCTCACCTTTTCCTTGTCATCGGCGGTGGGCGGCGAGGCGGGCTGCGCGCCGGACTGCGCATCACTCACTTATTCAGTCACCTCCTTATCGTTCCTCACTCACTCATTCATTCGTTCATCCCTTGTCTCACTCATTCGCTTACCTTTTCCTTGTCATCGGCGGTGGGCGGCGAGGCAGGCTGAGCGTCGGACTGTGCCTGCGCGCGGCGGCCTAGCGTGTTCATCATCACTGCCATCACGTTCTCGTGGACGCGGAGCACTCTGCAGAGAATTTGGTGTTGAATAACGTGAGATATTTGTCAGAAAAAACTATACTCTTACTTACAAACAATCGTACAGTAATTACTGAAAACTGTGTCATAATTGAAACAGCCAAACATGAGATAATCGCGGCTAAATAAATGTACGGGTTAAACTGAAAATCTCCGTCACGTCAAAAAAGCATTCGCTAAAGTACAATCTCGGTTCAGTTTGGGACTACGTTAGTGGAATTGTGGAAAAAAATAGACATTATTTAAATTACAATACAATAAGACATGCTCGTGTATTCGTAAACGTTATAAGATAAATCAGAATTTTCAGAACTTACCTAATTAAGTCAGGATGCTGGAAGAATGTGTGGTTGTTGACAAGTTTCCTGTGAAAAAAATAATTAATTAATTTGATTTATGCGACTTCATTATTTCATTCGCGTGCAAATTTGACTGAGTTCCATCTACATCTCTGCGGCACCGAGCTTTCAACCTTACGGCAAAGCAATAAGGTAACATTTAACTTACCACAATCTCTTCCTCATCAGTTCTTCTTCCTCCTGGCTCATCTGTACTGGCAACAGCGCACGGATTTGACTAAGCCCCACCCACATTTCGGCGACATCTAGTTTAGTCTTTGCGTTGATGACGTATGTCTTCTCTAAAGCGCGGATTAACTCGCCTACTGCGTCGTATTGGCGTACCAGGAGACTGTAGGAGACAAATGGTTTCATAAGTAAGCGTACTGAAAAACGCATCACCCCCAAGGTGGACAGACGACCTCATAAATGTAGCAGGAAGGCGCTGGATGCAGGCCGCTACCAACCGGGCGATGTGGAACCTTTATTTGGGTATTCTATAGGGTGACTCAAAAGTCTTCCTACGGTTACTACTTCCAAAGGTTTTTATGTAATATTTTGTTAGTCATTTTATGTGAAATTTAACGTTATAAGGGAAAGTGTGGCCTTACATACTATACGTCATGTACTAAACTCTAAGCTGTTGTCACGAAGAATTGACTTGGACGATAGCCATAAGGGTTCCTTGTCCACTAAAGGCTCTAAACCCGTATTCACAAACGATGCTTGCTTAAGTGAAGTAGCAAATCGAACGCACAACGTTGAATAGATCTCTGTGATTGTTTCGTGTGTGACCCTGTGTGTCCACGCGCACTGTGAGACCTCATAGTAATGTTTGTGGATACGGGTGCTCGCTTTGTTGCAAGAATTAACAAGGACGACAGCCATAAGGGTTCCTTGTTGACTAAGGAACCCTAAATTATAATATTACCTGAACATCTCCCTGACCAGTTTGGGCGTTTCGATCTGCGACTCCTCCGCCCAACTGACTATAGTCTGGATCAGGACTTTGCGGAACTTCTCTTCGGGAGTTTTCTTCGGTGGTTCTTCTATAGCCTATGGATAACATAAACGTCATATATTTTCTGCAAATAGGCTTTTAAAAAGCGCTTTTAGGCTGAGACCAAACGAGCGTAATTTACGGCGCATTTTTTGAGTTTACACAAAAGTTCTGTTTGAACTTTCCAACGACGCAAAATGTGTTGGAACTTGAACGTTTATTACCTACGCTACGGAAATTACGCTCGTTTGGCGTCAGCCTTACACACTGCACAACGAATGTTAGAAGTTTTATTATTATTTAATCTCAGTAATTTGATGTTTTGAACCATAGATAAACTTTAAAAAAGCGACTTTTTAAATACCAGTATAAATGTTCCTTATCTGAATTAAAACTTATGTACATATATTCTGTCAAGCTTAATAAGTTACCTTAGGTTCTTCTTCCAACTCCTTCACAGTGTTGATAATGTTGTACAGTTTGCCAAAGGCACCCGGTTTCGCTTCGGGCTCAGCATTTTCCTAAAAACAAAGATTTTATAAGGCAATTGATAGAGAAGGCAAATAAGGATATGGCCTGCACTATCCACATTGACCAGACAGTTTGGGGAGGCCTGATGTTTACATTTTTGTCACTTAGCCGCCTTTGCGACATCCATGGGAAGAGTTGGAGTGATCCTATTCGGCTCTGAATGATCATTATCATCAGGTCATTTCGTCTCCACTCTCTAATTTCCAAGAGTCTGATAAAGAACTATTTACTATTAGTAGAAGGCCACCATTAGTAGATGGTCAACCAAAGGGTGACGGAGTGTGCTATGCTAGGAGTTCCCATATGTTATCGAATCAGATATGATTAGATTCCTCCTAGGAGAAGCAAACTAACTGAAATAGCCCTCAGAATTGCCACACTTAATTGGCAGTGGGCGGGGCACATAACTCGTAAGCAGGTCTCCCACTTAAGTGAACCGACCATATAGTGGAAAACATAGGAAGCGTTTGGGTGTGGACAGCACAAGACCGGTCGTTTTTGAAATCCTTGAGGGCGTGACTTTTATCCAGAATGAAAATATGCCCCTTTTGGCTGTAACAAACGAAAATGGACTCTAAATAACAAGAAATAGTGTCAATTTTCGCACTCACCCCAGGGTCCGGCTCCTGCAGTGCATTGAGAGACACGTGCGACATTAGCGACTCGTGGAACTCGTTCATTCGCGCGATGAGGTCCTCGCCACACGGGCAGTTCTCTTTGTCTTCCTCTTCTAGATGTTTGAAACCTGGAAAAATATGAGGCTGAGTGAGCAAAATCATTGGATATAAGGAATCGGAAATAATAAATAAATAAGTCTTTGAACTATTCCTAGATTTCGTATAATAATGACAATGTTTTATCGATAACATTAAATAAATGCGAGTTACGCCCGTATTCACATTACTATGAGGTCTCACAGTGCGCGTGGACGCACAGGGTGACACACGAACCAATCACAGAGCTCTATTCAGCGCTGTGCGTTCGATAGCTTTACTTAAGCAAGCATCTATTGTGAATATTGGCGTTAGTTCTCTTGATCGCTGTAAATCAACTGAAACACCCTGTGGACAGTCTTTAGCCGGAGGCATCATTATCATACCTATGATCATAAGGGTAAAGCGATTAGCAACCGCTGCAACTCCTGTGCAACTAGGATCTACAGCGTGACTACCAATAAAACCAAACCAATGAAGGAAAATTAACTAGGGATAGCATACGATAATACGATAGAACTTACTAAGGATGGCGTTCATCTGTTCCCGGGGAGGACAACGGAACTCCCTGGTCTTCTTGGCTGCAACCGCACTGGGCAGGTCCGACTGCTTGATTTCTGTGTAACGTCTGCAAAAGAAAATATTTTATGTATGTATTTATTTTATCTTATACAGAGTGACTTTTAACTAGTGAACATCCTTGTAAGGGATTACAGTACAGAAAAAGAATGTCTTTATTCAGCGCAATTTAAGGTATACAGGTAATTTTTAACCAATTTAGTTATTTATACTTATGCCTAGGCAATAGTCAATCAATATGAGATGTTTTGATTTTCATTTTGAACGGAAAAATCACAAGGAGACTTGTTTTTTAATCGCCTGGAGTACTGCATCTAAATAAATCAAATGATGAACCTTGTTTAGTGATAATTTTGATATTAATGATGAAGCTGACCTCAACTGATCAGCCTCCGCTCGGTGCCACAGCTCAATGTAGTTGAGATGCTGTAGTAAGTACATCTGTACTTCTGTAGTACCTGGATGTAACCAGCAGTACACTGTAATGATGATGATGATGAAGCTCTCACCTCAACTGATTAGTTTGGACATCACCAACGAAGACTATGATGGACTACACTCGGTGCCGCAGATGAATGTCTTCACATGCTATAGTATTCTGGATGTATCCAGCAGTACTCTGTAATGATGATGATGATGACGCTCTCACCTCAACTGATCAGTCTGGACATCACCAACGAAGTCGTGTGCGAAGGCTATGATGGACTCCACTCGGTGTCGCAGCTGTATGTCGTTAAGATCCTTCAGTAGATACATTTACAGTATCTGGATATATCCAGCAGTAGACAGTAATGATGATGATGATGAAGCTCTCACCTCAACTGATTAGTTTGGACATCACCAACGAAGGCTATGATGGACCCAATCGGTGCCACAACTGAATGTCGTTGAGATGCTGCATTGTCTGGTTATATCCATCCTGCAGTAGACTGTAATGATGATGATAATGATGATGAAGCTCTCACCTCAACTGATCCGTCTGGACATCGCCAACGAAGTCGTGAGCGAAGGCTATGATGGACTCCACTCGGTGTCGCAGCTGAATGTCGTTGATATCCTTCAGCAGATACATGTACAGTATCTAGATATATCCAGCAGTAGACTGANAAAACAATCGACGAAAATTGAAAAAAAATGAAATTTTTACTTGGCCTGGTAGGAAAGTGCAGTGTCGGACAACATTGACCGCGTTGGCGTTCAATGTGTTAAAAGCCTATTTGCAAAAATAAAATTAATTTTATCTGTTTTGTAGCGTTAACCGCCAATCCTGCTACATGGTCCGAGCGGACGAGCTATACAACGAAGTAATGGCTGAAGCGACAGGACCCAAAGGCGCTTCGCAGGGAATGTTCATCGGTTGCTCGGTAGACACCTCCACTGGTACTGTGGCGTTCACTTGCGAAGGGAAGGATACTAGCATCAAATTCAAGGTGAGAATTATATTAGTAAAATTCTGTTTGTTGGTATTTCTCTAGATACAGGGTGTACCAAAATTAGGACGTCTCACTGACATCGGAGTCAAGCGGATAATGGCTACACAGGAATGAATGCTATCGTTTTTATACTTAACAGTTGGCACCCCTGGCGATTGACAGGACCTTACTCTACAGTAGCGCCATCTTGATGAGTGCAAATGCGATAGTCCTCCTACCACTTTAGCGCTCACAAGTTAGTGCCACTGTCTTCGCTACTAGCAAGTGACAGGACCTTACTCTACAGTGGCGCTAACTGGTGAGTGCTAAAACGATAGCCCTCATTGCAGCGGTGGGAACAAATAATGGGAAAAGTCCTGTTTAAATAACAAATTAAAATGATGATTTTGAGCGATACCAACCATCGCAATTTAACTGATTTATTCTTTTCAAAAGTATAGGGTATCTAAAGAGGAATTTTTTCTCTAGGTTTTCCTAGGTTTTCTCTGAGCATGGAGGCCACATTTTATTAAATTATATGGCAGCACTCATTGTACACAAACTATGTACTTAAAGTTTACAGCAAATTATTATAATAATTATATGCGTAAAGCCTAGATGAATAATAAGCGAGGCACTTCAAACTAGACCACTTGCTTAGTTTTTCCCTGTTCTGTCAGTTATAAAGTCAAACACTATTAACGAAGCGCATAAATGAAGACTATCCATGTAAAGCCTGGTCCGTGAGCACGTAAAATCCCGTCCAATGACCCCAAGCTACCCATCCTTATCGCTCGCGCGTAATTATATTGCTGTCGCGACTGTGCGACGCGCGTCCGCAGTGAGTGTGCGAGCGCGACAGCAACATAATTACGTGCGAGCGACAAGGATAGGCAGCTTGGGGTCATTGGACGGGATTCTACGTGCTCACGGACCAGGCTTTAGTCTTAATTAATGTAACATTATAGACACCCTTTCCATCGGAAATAGTATTTTCCCACATTAAACTCATATTTCTCCACAGATGGAGCCAGAAACAAAGCTCTTCCCAGCCATTTTCGTAGAGGCCACATCCAAGGAGATCCTGCAGATCGAGCTGGGCAGGTCTTCCACCAGCCTCCCGCTAAGCGCTGCGGTGCTGCCCACTAGTGATAAACACGTCATACCGCAGTTCCCGCCGAGGTTGAAGGTTCAGTGCTTGAAGCCGCACCAGTGGGCTAGGGTACGTGTTTCTATTATAAATTGTTTGTTAAGGACTATAAACACCCACAAGGTGGACCGATGACATCATAAAGGTAGCAGGAAGCCGTTGAATGCAGGCCGCTATCAACCGGTCAACATGGGAATCATTGGGGGCGGCCTATGTTCAGCAGTGGACGTCCTATGGCTGAAATGATGATGATGAAGGACAATAGGGAATAAAGAAAAAAAATAATGATTACCACTTACTTACGGCTATGGTCGCCTATTGAATGCTATACGCAGCGTACGATGTCAGCGTCAAACGTTCCTATGGACGACGACGATGTCAACGTCTGAAAGAAACCACAATAGTACATTTTTCTATAGCTGCATTGTAACGCGTTGTTTATAGGACACCACAGTTAAATAGCGTATTTAAAACTCATTACATCTTTAAGACGAGTACCGAAATTGTACTAGAAATAAAACGATACAAGCGTTAAACTATTTGTGGTATTAGCTAAGCTTGACGTCACATTCCACGCCCCATACTAACTAGTATGGGATGCTGCTGTTGTTTTAACGTGTGCAGTCACGTCACTTAGTATTTCTAGAGATTTTTGAAAAAGAAAAGCACTGAGAGATTTTAAAAAAACGTGCATTACAATTGTCATGGTAAATGTTTAATTTATCGATAGTGTAACATACCTAGATGGCCATTTATCTTCAAACTAGTCTTCTAAGCTTCCATTTCTATTTTATTTAGGTACCAAATCAATCTTTGCAAGTCCACGCCTTGAAGCTGTCAGATATCCGTGGTTGGTCCATGCTGTGTGAAGATGCTGTATCCATGCTCGCCCTTCACATACCAGGTAAGCTACAAATATTTTGTGGAGTGCTACAAGGTACCAATTTGAGACCTATATTAAATCTTATTTTAAAAATTTGCGCACCTGCTTTTGATGTAAACTTCATGTAAAAAAATCTAAATTCCACTTCATCTTTATTAAATTATTGTTTTTTATTACAGAGGAAGATCGCTGCATAGATATTCTGGAGTTGATAGAAATGGACAAACTTCTGAGTTTCCACTCACACACGTTGACTTTGTACGCTGCGTTGTGCTACCAAAGTAATTACAGGTATGTATTATTCAAAATTTTAATTACAGTTAGCTCGTGAGTTATCGATATTAACTACCAAATATTTGCGGAAGTTTCTAGATGAGAAAATATGAAACCAATGCCCAAATAACTCTCTAGCTCAGTAACTAAACATGACGTTTTTGTACAAAACAAAAAAAGGTCACAATAATAGTGATATTTAGGAGTTCAGACTTAATATTGTGCTATGTTGTTGTGTTAATTGTATTGTTATTGTTTGTTCTCTGTAGCTGTGTCTTAAATAAATAAATAAATAGTATTCGGTGTCGGCATTGAACTATCGATTCTATTCGCGTCCTCATTTGGATTTTATTGAGATAACAAGACTTTTTGCGCTGCTTCTTCTCAGCACTGGCCCATTTAATTTCTCTAAGCAGTGGTAGGGTTAAAGTAATACTGGGACGTGTAATAATGCACATTGAGTCTCCAAAACCAATAAAAAGGGTTTTTTTCTATACCAGTTAAAGGGAACTTATTGGAATTTTCTTCCAGGGCCGCCCACGCTCTCTGCCAACACGTGGACCAAAAGCAGTTGTTATACGCCATCAAGTCTCAGTACATGTCGGGCCCGCTGCGCCAGGGCTTCTACGACCTGCTCATCGCGCTGCATCTGGAGTCCCACGCCACCACCATGTGAGTACACCATGAGATACCCAGACTATGACCACCACCATGTAAGTACACCATGAGAGGTGCAGACTATGAGAGAAGCTATACGGGCGTTGCCAGTTGCACCGACGTTGCGCCGTCTAATTTGTGACGCTTCGTTATTTATAACGCCACCACCATGCCCATAAAAATTATGGGCAAGTGCAGACACAGCGAAGGGACCAAAAGAAAATAATTTAAACACTACCCTAACTTCTGTGTCATACGGCTGGAAATGACGTGCCAAAGCTCAAAATAAGCGAATGGCTCGCCAACGCAGTTAGGCTGCCACGAAAGCCTCTTGCAATCTCATGCTTTGCTATCAATAAACCTAGGACGCGCAACACGATAAACTTATCAAACCACTTTATCGATTTTGCACGATAAGCCTATTTGTCATCTAAAATTGTCGATAAGATTTGTTGAGTTAAATCTCCTACAAATCTTTGTTTCTCATTTTTGAGATTGCGAGCATACCTACCATTGCCCCTTTCAGAGATGAACTTATTTATCGAGCCACCATTGTTCGTTCTCAGGGAGACATGCAAGAACGAGTTCGTGATACCACTAGGGCCTGAACTGAAGGCGCTATACGATGAGGCAGGCATGGGCCACAGCCTCCGTTCGCTGCAGACTGAGAGCGTACGTCCACAGATGAAGATGACGGACATCGCGTGAGTACATATCATCATCATCATTTCAGTGGGTTTGACGCAGAATGTGCACTTCGTATAATAATATGCACTCAACTCAAAATGTGAATTACACCCGCAATGTATCAGATACTTGTAATGGCAAATAGCAATGTTTACCTCAAAGATCATCACAGAGTTTTTTCAGCCGAAAATCCTTCCACCTCGATTTATAGTTTCTACGACAGAAACCACTAAAAAAAGTACAGGAAACTCGACCTTAATTAATCCCAATAAATTCTTATCTTCCACATAAGGACATCGGTAATCCAAACAATCATGCCCGATTCCGACAATAATATAGCCTTCTGTCTAGTAATCCCTGTACTTCCCGCTAGAGGTTGTGCTACCCGAACAAACAACATTAGACCTTAAACCGACACTAGTAAAGCCTTCTTTCCGATGAGAACAAGTCACGATCAGACATACATCAGTAGTTTACTTAGAAGTAAAGATAAAATTCGACCTTAATATGACACTAATAAAGCCTTCTTTCTAGTCTCTTCACCATCAGACAATAGCAACCTCTACTCTCCGTATTTCCCGCTAGAGGTCGAAGTGAGGGAGTTCCTTATGCAAGCTCTCGCAAAGACATACAAAATTAGACCTAAATTCGCCACTAATTAAGCCTTCTTTCTAGCGAGAAGTCGTCTCTTCACCATCAGATAATAGCACATACGTTACACACAACATTAGACCTTATACCAACACTGATAAAGCCTTCTTTCCAATGAGAACAAGTCACGATGTGACATCTGTAGTTTACTGAACTAAAGAACCTTAATTTGACACTAATAAAGCCGTCTTTCCAGCGAGAATATCTCAGACATCAGCAACCTGTACTCGCCGTACTTCCCGCTAGAGGTCGTGAGGGAGTTCCTGATGCAAGCACTAGCAGAGGCCGTGGAGACCAACCAGGTGCACAATCGAGACCCCGTGGGGGGCAGCAACGAGAATCTGTTCTTGTGAGTACATCACGGATAAATATTACTTAAACTAGCTGTGCCCGCGACTTCGTACGCGTGAAAACCCGTTTTCGCAACATTTTTCATTGTTGCTGTGCTCCTATTTCGATAAATGGGCTATCTAACACTGAAAACATTTTTCAAATCAGACCAGTAGTTCCGGAGATTAGCGCGTTCAAGTAAACAAATAAACTCTTCAGCNCTAGATGACAAAATTTCAATTATTTGTCCGTCAGACAGATAATTAGAAAATATTAGACTCATATTTTTTATTTTCTATCATAATTAAATAATAACAGTGCTACATCGAATTGAAATGGCGCGATACGCCACGCTTGAGTAGAAGTTTTACTCAAATGTGACGTCACGCGAGATTTCAACTCAATATAATCCCATCAAAAACAATACTTGTCAAAAAAACCAAGTCTCGCAACTCAGCTGTTCTACGGTAAAAAGTTGTGAGATCCATGTAATACCAAGTCCAGGCCAGGAAATCTTTAACGTTTTACATAAATTATTGACTTGGCCATCGCACTAAATAATTTAATTTACACGTGTTTTCATGCGATGGCCAAGTCAATATATTTATGTAAAACGTTAAAGATTTCCTGGCCTGGACTTGGTATTACATGGATCTCACAACTTTTTACCGTAGAACAACTGAGTTGCGAGACTTGGTTTTTTTGACAAAGGTCACGTCAGGTGGTGCAACTCAGCCAAAGAAAAAAATCATTTTGATCGCTAATGTCAGTTTGCAGCGAGTGACACAACCTCCCCGTCTGAAGGCCAGCGGCCGACTGCCGCCCGCACCCCGCGAAGGCCCCCTCAACAGCAAAACGTTCGGAATTTATCAAAAGTAAAATTTATGAATGAAAGTAATATTCGATTGAAAAACGCAACGTGTCATTTAAAGATTAAAGAATTCCTAATCTATTCGTGCAAAAATCTTTTAAATTAACATAGCCGTTTTGGAGGAGTAGGGAATTTAAGTAAAAAATCGATGTCCCGTATTTATTTTTTTAATCCAAAACAAAGAGACGCAGCGAAAATTCAAACGTCACAAATGTAGTCCTTGAACTGTTGTATAACATATATTTTTTTCAACTATTTCTATCCAGCAGTAAAAGAGGAGTAGGCTTTACAAAATGCCCATTTGGCGCGGATTGAGGACTCTAATCGCCTTAAGTGAAGCAGAAAATCTCACAGCGTTGAATAAAGCTCTGTGATTGGTTCGTGTGTCACTCTGTGCGTCCACGCGCACTGTGAGACCTCATAGTAAGTAAAGTTTGTGAATATGGGCGTTAGTGATTGCCGCTTTAGTTGTCTCTGAAAGCTTACAATTTTTTTTCTGACATAAATACCCTTTATATTATACCCAAAGATACAGGATATTATGGTCTATTTTTGTAGGTATGCCATAGAAAGGAAGTAAACAATTTCGTTAAACACATTATATTATTATATGGAAGATGGAGGAGCTTGCACATTGCTACTTTTTGTGGCGATATAACGCGTGTTTTTCAGTCGCGTGACTGTATCGCAACTTTTAGTTCGCGTGTGTGTAAAAGCAAATTCTGCATCTTGTCATGACTGAAACCAGTTTTTATCGCTGCAAAAATGCTGCAATTGTAACAAAGACATATTGGGAACTTTTTGGCTACTTTGGGTGTCACGAACTATTTGACGCTGATAGTACACCGCTGGTTCTTGGGACAACCTGTATATTTCAACCATCTGTTTGCAGCGTTAACCGCCAATCCTGCTACATGGTCCGAGCGGACGAGCTATACAACGAAGTAATGGCTGAAGCGACAGGACCCAAAGGCGCTTCGCAGGGAATGTTCATCGGTTGCTCGGTAGACACCTCCACTGGTACTGTGGCGTTCACTTGCGAAGGGAAGGATACTAGCATCAAATTCAAGGTGAGAATTATATTAGTAAAATTCTGTTTGCAAAGTTGGTATTTCTCTAGATACAGGGTGAACCAAAATGAGGGCGTCTCACTGACATCAGAGTCAAGCGGATAGTGGCTTCACAGGAGTTGCACAGGAGGAAAAAGTCCTGTTTAAATGACAATATAAAATGATGATTTTGAGCGATACCAACCATCGCAATTTAACTGATTTATTCTTTTGAAATGTATAGGGTATCTAAAGAGGAAATTTTTCTCTAGGTTTTCTCTGAGCATGGAGGCCACATTTTATTAAACTATATGGCAGCACTCATTGTAAACAAACTTTTATATACTCAAAGTTTACAGCAAATTATAATAATTATATGCGTTAAGCCCAGATAGATAATAAGCGAGGCACTTCAAACTAGACCACTTGCTTAGTTTTTCCCTGTTCTGTCAGTTATAAAGTCAAACACTATTAACGCATGCAAGATGACTAGATTTTTGCCTCACTTTAAACAAAACGCTTGTATAAAGACTATTTATCTAGACTTTATTAATCTAAGATTATAGACACCCTTTCCATCGAACATAGTATTTTCCCATATTAAACTCATATTTCTCCACAGATGGAGCCAGAAACAAAGCTCTTCCCAGCCATCTTCGTAGAGGCCACATCGAAGGAGATCCTGCAGATCGAGCTGGGCAGGTCTTCCACCAGCCTCCCGCTAAGCGCTGCGGTGCTGCCCACTAGTGATAAACACGTCATACCGCAGTTCCCGCCGAGGTTGAAGGTTCAGTGTCTGAAGCCGCACCAGTGGGCTAGGGTACGTGTTTCTTTCTATTATGAATTGTTTCAAATCAAATCAAGAATATTTTATTAAATTTTAACCAGTATTTTGGCACTTATAAGGGCAATAAAGAATTTGCGTAGTTGTATTCATTTATTAATGCAAAACACTTGTAAGCTTACAAATGTTTATAGGAACATGTCCAAAGCGCTTACAAGCCTAAAAATAAAAAAAAAAACATTATATTGTTTTAAACTTTCATGGTCACTAACATAATTATTATTAGTAACGGGATTGCTACCATTGTACCTTAATTTACTCCGCATGGCGCTTGCAACAATGCCGAAATATCGGAAATTCAAAATTAAAACTCATTACATCTTTAAAAGAAGAACTGTTTATAGATTTACCTAAGCGTGACGTCACAAACCATGCCCCATACTAACTAGTATGGGATGCTGCCGTTGTTTTAACGTGTGCAGTGGAAACCACTTAGTGTATATCTAGAGATTTTAGAAAAAGAAAAGCACAGAGATTTAAAAAAAACATGCATTACAATTGGCATGGTAAATATTTAATTTATCGATTATGATGACCATTTAATTTTATCTTCAAAATAAGAAACTAGTCTTCTAAACTTCTATTTCTATTTTATTTAGGTACCAAATCAATCTTTGCAAGTCCACGCCTTGAAGCTGTCAGATATCCGTGGGTGGTCCATGCTGTGTGAAGATGCTGTATCCATGCTGGCCCTTCACATACCAGGTAAGCTACAAATATTTTGTGGAGTGCTACAAGGTACCATTCTGAGACCTATATTAAATCTTATTTAAAAGATTTGCGCAACTGCTTTTGATGTAAATTTCGTGTAAAAAAATCTGATTCCACTTCATCTTTATTAAATTATTGTTTTTTATTACAGAGGAAGATCGCTGCATAGACATTCTGGAGTTAATAGAAATGGATAAACTACTGAGTTTCCACTCTCACACACTGACATTGTACGCTGCGTTGTGCTACCAAAGTAATTACAGGTATGTATTATTCAAAATTTTAATTACAGTTAGCTCGTGAGTTATCGATATTAACTACCAAATATTTGCGGAAGTTTCTAGATGAGAAAATATGAAACCGATGCCTAAATAACTCTCTAGCTCAGTAACTAAACACGACGTTTTTTTACAAAACAAAAAAAAAGGTCACAATAATAGTGATATTTAGGAGTTCAGACTTAATATTGTGCTATGTTGTTGTGTTAATTGTATTGTTATTTTTGTTTGTTCTCTGTAGCTGGGCCTTAAATAAATAAATAAGTAGTATTCGGTGTCGGCATTGAACTATCGATTCTATTCGCGTCCTCATTTTGGACTTTATTGAGATAACATAAAGACTGAGTTTTTGGGCTGCTTCTTCTCAGCACTGGCCCATTTAGTTAATTTCTCTAAGCAGTGGTAGGGTTAAAGTAATACTGGGACGTGTAATAATGCACATTGAGTATCCAAAACCAATAAAAAAGGTTTTTTTCTATACCAGTTAAAGGGAACTTATTGGAATTTTCTTCCAGGGCCGCCCACGCTCTCTGCCAACACGTGGACCAAAAGCAGTTACTCTACGCCATCAAGTCTCAGTACATGTCGGGCCCGCTGCGCCAGGGCTTCTACGACCTGCTCATCGCGCTGCATCTGGAGTCCCACGCCACCACCATGTGAGTATCTTAGGCTTACAGAGAGAGAGAGAAAAAAACTAACTGCTGGCAAAACTTGGCAAAGCGTAGCGAAGGGACATAAAAAGAAATAACGTCGTTAAGCTGCCAAGATATCCGTCACGTAACTGCTCCTGGAGACGCCGCCATGACCATGTGAGTACACCATGAGACGTGCAACATACTATGATACTGTATACATGCTGGCCCTTAACTACTAGGTAAGCTTAATGTTTTATGGTGTGCTACAGGGTATCATTCTGAGACCAATATTGAATCTTATCTGAAAGTCTTGCGCAACTGCTTTTGACGCGTATTTCATGCAAAATTATGACAAAAAATTTACAGACGCGGCACGTCAAGTTAAACACTGCCATCTTTTATAGTTGAAGTGCTATTCTGCAAGAAAAATGTAATTACGTGATGACGGAATATATCAAAGACTGTCATACCATTCAAAAATGCTGCAACATCGTCGTTGGAATGTGACATTGCGCCGATTGTGTGTCACTCAATGCGTTGTAATTATTACCCCGTGCTCCAATGACGTAATATCCGATTGGCGTTTGTCTTAGAATATTACGGATAATCGTAGTAAAGCCACGTGGCCTAAAAGCAGTTACTCTACGCCATCAAGTCTCAGTACACGTCGGGCCCACTACGCCAGGGCTTCTACGACCTACTCATCGCGCTGCATCTCGAGTCCCACGCCACCACCATGTGAGTAACTTAGATTCAAAGACTATAATATCTATGAATACTTCACTTTGGCGAGGTAAGTCACCAAAGCGCACCAAACCAAAGCGTAGGTTTACGAAGCGAACAAAAAGGAAATAATATAAACAATACCCTAACTTTTTCTGGAAAATGACATGCCAAAAATAAAAATTAGGACCCCACGATTCTGAAACGTCAAGTGGTAAAAATCTAAAACTAAACCCAGTATTGATATTAGTGCCGTCCGGTAATGTCATATTATATGGATATTCAACATAGAAAAATCGGAACTAGCGATCCGGTATTCACGGTTGCGCCCCCTGTCAATGTCACGGGTGGGACGGTTCAGTGTAGGACATCTTTAAAAAACATCTCGCAGTAGACATCAAGCTGCCACAACTATAAGACGTTGCCGCTGGTTTGACAGCTGCCACAAGACGACGCGTCGTCGTGGTTTGACAGCTCCGCCCGGTGACATGTTCTTAGTGACATTTGGATTCTCTTGGTTTGCGCCCAGTAGACCCAGGAGAAACTTTGCTGCCCCCACTACCACTTAAATTTGTTGATTCTGCGGCTTTCGTTACTTTAAATCTCTTAAGAAAATCCTCGTTTCTTACTTTGAAAATTTCAAGCATAGGTCTTTCCACCATCAGTTCAATAACAGCAGGCTGATTTATTGAGACAAAACTGTATGTTTTAATGTCGCGGGTTCGATTCCCACCTTAGGCAGTTCGATTTTTTCAGTTATTTTAAAGTTTAGATTGAGAGACTACTCTTAACGCCAGAAAATTTTGGTAACAACATTGTACTCGTATGTTCCCAGGGAAACGTGCAAGAACGAGTTCGTGATACCACTAGGGCCTGAACTGAAGGCGCTATACGATGAGGCAGGCATGGGCCACAGCCTCCGCTCGCTGCAGACCGAGAGCGTGCGACCGCAGATGAAGATGACCGACATCGCGTGAGTACACCATCATCATCTTTTAAGGCTGGCAAAGGTGACTGATGCCCGTTTTCAGCATCAATCCCTAATTTTTAAGTGACCCCTTTGATAACAAAATTCCTGTTATGTGTTACCACATAGGAGTCATTTAAAAATTAGGGATTGATGGTGAAAACGGGCATGAGTTTCTTCCGCCACTTCTTCTCAGCTCCAGCCTGTTATGTATTGCCCCTAAGTAATGGTAGGGCAAGTTATTTTTGGGACGTATATGTATAAATGCCCTGGAAAGGGCCTATGTACTGAATAAACTCTTTGAATTTGAATTTAAGCGAGTTTGGATGTGATGATGAGCAGTTCGAACCAGTTGAGTGCTCATTTCGCGAAGTGCATTCTGCGTCAGACCTATTTTAGCAACACGACGTCCACTGTCGGACATAGGCTTCCCCCGATTATTTCCAGATTGGCCGGTTAGCAGGAAACCCCCAACGAATAAAGTAAAAGCCGCGTTCTTTTCAGCCAAATGATGTCCACTGCTGGACAAAAGCCTCACCCAAGGATTTCCACGACGACCGGTCCTGTGCTGCCCGCATCCAGGTTCTTCCCACGACTTTCACCAGATGGTCTATCCGCCTAGAGGCCTGCCATCGTGTGGTCGCCATTCAATAAATTTTCTGTCCCAGCGGCCATCAGCTCTACGAGCCACTTAGAATTAAAATTAGAATAAGTTACGATCAGACATTAGTAGTTTACTGAACTAAAAACAATATTAGACCTTAATGTGACTCTAATAAAGCTTTTCCAGCGAGAACATCCCAGACATCAGCAACCTCTACTCCCCGTACTTCCCGCTAGAGGTCGTAAGAGAGTTTCTCATGCAAGCTCTCGCAAATACACAAAAAATTAGACCTTACATTGACAATGAAATAGCCTTTTTTCTAGTCTCTTCACCATCAGACAATAGCAACCTCTACTCTCCGTATTTCCCGCTAGAGGTCGAAGTGAGGGAGTTCCTTATGCAAGCTCTCACAAAGACATACAAAATTAGACCTAAATTCGCCACTCATTAAGCCTTCTTTCTATCGAGAAGTCGTCTCTTCACCATCAGATAATAGCACATACGTTACACACAACATTAGACCCTATACCAACACTGATAAATCCTGCTTTCCAATGAGAACAAGTCACGATGTGACAATGTGACATCTGTAGTTTACTGAACTAAAGAACCTTAATTTGACACTAATAAAGTCTTCTTTCCAGCGAGAACATCTCAGACATCAGCAACCTCTACTCGCCGTACTTCCCGCTAGAGGTCGTGAGGGAGTTCCTGATGCAAGCACTGGCGGAGGCCGTGGAGACCAACCAGGTGCACAATCGAGACCCGGTGGGAGGCAGCAACGAGAATCTGTTCTTGTGAGTACATCACGGATAAATATTACTTAAACTAGCTGTGCCCGCGACTTCGTACGCGTGAAAACCCGTTTTCGCAACATTTTTCACTGTTGCTGTGCTCCTATTTATCGTAGCGTGATGTTGTAAAGCCTATAGCCTTAATCGATAAATGGGCTATCTAACACTGAAAACATTTTTCAAATCAGACCAGTAGTTCCGGAGATTAGCGCGTTCAAGTAAACAAATAAACTCTTCAGCTTTATAATATTAGTATATATAACTTTTTATTGGTATCTAGCCACAAGTGCCTGAGGTATGGGAGCGACACACGGGAGGCTGTTTTTGTAACGTCAGTGAGACTTCAGATCTCCTTCAGATTTATATGCTCTGTCACTTCATTCCTCAGGAACTGAGTTAAACGCTAAACCTGGTCTAAATTTTTTTTTCTAGGCCACTAACGCTCTTAAGCCTCCAGTGCTTACAAGGGGGCATTATCGCCTTGCACTTTGAGAATGGCTTTTTTAAACATTCCTTTTGATCTATTGATGAAAACCGGACCGTAATCCATTGCGTATTTTAACAGATTAGCACACAGACAAACCAGACGTAGCGGCTTCATTTTATACTATTTATAGATACGAGTATATTATGGAAACAATAACTATTGATAAAATGAATTATGATTTTGTTTAAGGCCGCTAATAAAGCTGGTGGATCGTCTTCTGCTCGTGGGAATGATGAGAGACGAGGATGTCGAGAAGTTGCTCATCATGATCAACCCTGAGACTTGGGACCCCACGTTCGATAGAGGTAAAAACACTAACTACATACAACCATCTGAGGTGGAATTGTGTAAAGCAATCGTAATCATTTGACAGTTCATAACGTACGATAAAGTCAGTTAAACAAAGCGTTTGACAAAATGATCGTACGTTATGAACTGTCAAATGATTACGATTGCTTTACACAATTCCACCTCTGAACGACTATGTGGTCACGACTTAAATGGTGACATCAGTTGTTATAAGGCACACTATTTTAAAATAACTGGTCAGACGATAGACTTTCAGCTACAGTTGATAATTTAAGAAAACTGCAGGACAACATCCTCCCTATGGATTTTTGCAAAGACCAGTATAGCGCTGCCCTCGTCTAAGTGCTTCCTATGACCATGACCAGATCGTCGGTCCAATGAGTGGGAGGCCTTCACTACGTTTTCCAGACTGTGGTTGCCACTCGAAAACTTTTCTGTCTCATCGGCCATCAGTTCTACGAGCTATGTGCCCCGCCCACTGCCACAAACTTAAAATCTTAAGGCTGAGTTGCACCACCTATCTTTAACGGTAACTATGACGATAACCGGTGCTTTTTGTATCATCATCATTTCAGCCATATGCTGAACATAGGTCTCCCCCAATGACTTCTACATCGCACGGTTGGTAGCGGCCTGCATCCAGCGCCTTCCTGCTACCTTTATCAGGTCGTCGGTCCACCTTGTGGGTGGACGTCCCACGCTGCGTTATCCGGTACGCGGCCTCCATTCCAGAACCTTGCTGCCCCATGCTTTTTGTATGGACTTTGTAAATTTTTGACGTTTGTTCAAGTAAGATGGTGCAACCTAGCCTTTATTTTATGGCTAAAGCTAACGTTGTATGTTTCCCTTGAAAATAAAAGCACACTTGTTAATAATATTACGACTTTGCAGAAGGCAAAGACGAGCACCGCAAAGGCTTACTCCACATGAAGATGGCGGAAGGCGCCAAACTCCAGATGTGTTACTTACTGCAGCATCTGAATGACATTCAGCTGCGGCACCGAGTGGAGTCCATCATAGCTTTCGCACACGACTTCGTTGGCGATGTCCAGACTGATCAGTTGAGGTAAGAGCTTCATCATCATCATCATCATCACAGCCATAGGACGTCCACTGCTGAACATAGGCCTCCCCCAATGCTTTCCATGTTGCCCGGTTGGTAGCGACCTGCGTCCAGCGCCTCCCTGCTACCTTTATGATGTCGTCGGTTCACCTTGTGGGTGGACGTCCCACGCTGCGTTTTCCGGTACGCGGCCTCCACTCCAGAGCCTTGCTGCCCCATCGGCCGTCAGTTCTGCGTACTATGTGCCCTGCCCATTGCCACTTCAGCTTGCTAATCCGTCGGGCTATGTCAGCAAATTTAGTTCATACAGTCTACTGCTGGATATATCTAGATACTGTAAATGTATCTGCTGAAGGATCTTAACGACATTCAGCTGCGGCACCGAGTGGAGTCCATCATAGCTTTCGCACACGACTTCGTTGGCGATGTCCAGACTGATCAGTTGAGGTGAGAGCTTCATCAGCTTCATCATCACAGTCTAATGCAGGATATATCTAATTGTTCAGTTCAGGTCAAAAATATTGCGAAGTTGCGTCCAATGATGACGCTCTTTCAAAAAAAGAATGGCCTCCGCAGAAAAACAGCGTCATGTTCTGGGGTCTACCTCAGAGTAGGACACAAATGCTGAGCGGATGCCATTTTGGTTCACACAAGCTCTATAATTGTAATAATTGTATGTTTTGGACCAAACAAAAAAAACTTTCTTTCTTTCTCCAAATTATTGAAACGGGTAGTTCTGTTTTTGGAAGAAATTGACATCCATCTTAGATATTAAATTGAAAAATTGTGTTTTATCAACTTTTAAGAATTATGTCAATTGACTAACCCTATACTCAAATAATCCTGTTTTTTTTTCGCAGACGTTACACAGAAATCAAGCAGTCGGACCTGCCCAGTGCGGTTGCAGCCAAGAAGACCAGGGAGTTCCGTTGTCCTCCCCGGGAACAGATGAATGCCATCCTTAGTAAGTGTTACCCTTAGGCATGAATTCCTTGTCTATTCTAGTAGTATCTAGAGAGATGCAAGACTAAAATATGAAAATCACGTATGAAAGTACCCAAGTTTTCGCCACGGTCCTTGTTTCATAATCAACTGACCAAATGAAATAGATTGTATTTAAGAAACAAACGAATGAATTATGAACTAGACTTTTTTACGAGTTTGCCCAAAGATTTTTTTTACAAATAGCGTCCGATCTCCAATTAAAAATGTAATGTATCTTGCTCACATATCTCCTGTGTTCAGGTTTCAAGCATCTAGAAGAGGAAGACAAGGAGAACTGCCCGTGTGGCGAGGACCTCATCGCGCGAATGAACGAGTTCCACGAGTCACTAATGTCGCACGTGTCTCTCAATGCACTGCAGGAGCCGGACCCTGGGGTGAGTGAAAAAATTGACACTATTTCCTGTTAATTAGAGTCCATTTTCGTTTGTTACAGCCAAAAGGGGCATATTTTCATTCTGGATAAAAGTCACGCCCTCAAGGATTTCAAAAACGACCGGTCCTGCGCTGCCCACATCCAAACACTTCCCATGTTTTCCACTAGATGGTCGGTCCACTTAAGTGGGAGACCTGCTTACGAGCTATGTGCCCCGCCCACTGCCACTTAAGTTTGGCAATTCTGCGTGTTATTTTGGTTACTTTGGTTCTACTGGTTTGGGCAGATGCCCACTTTTGATTCGATAACGTCTGGAAACTCCTAGTATAGTGCCCACTTCTGACTCGATCGCGTAGGGAAATTCCCAGTACAGCACACTCCATCGCCTTTTGGGTGACCCTGACCATGTGCCTTCTAGGAATAGTAAAGTTTCTTATCAGACTTGGAAACTAAAGAGTGGAGACCTGAGTGACCTGATGATAATGATCATCCAGAGTCGAGGGTGACAAAGTGATAAATATGCGATCATCAGGCCCCCCATCCTGTTTGGCTAGCGTGGGGAGTGTAGGCCATATCCTCCACTTGCTTCCTCTATCGATATTCTTATGAAATCTCGGTTGTTTATAGGAAAACGCTGAGCCCGAAGCGAAACCGGGTGCTTTCGGCAAACTGTACAACATTATCAACACTGTGAAGGAGTTGGAAGAAGAACCTAAGGTAACTTATTAAGCTTGACAGAATATACATAAGTTTTAATTCAGATAAGGAACATTTATACTGGTATTTAAAAAGTCGCTTTTTTAAAGTTAATCTATGGTTCAAAACATCAAACTACTGAGATTAAATAATAATAAAACTTCTAACATTCGTTGTGCAATGTGTAAGGCTGACGCCAAACGAGCGTAATTTCCGTAGCGTAGGTAATAAACGTTCAAGTTCCAACACATTTTGCGTGTTTGTGAAGTTCATACAGAACCTTTGACTCAAAAAACGCGTCGTAAATTAGGCTCGTTTGGCCTCAGCCTAAAAGCGCTTTATAAAAGAGAAAATATATGACGTTTATGTTATCCATAGGCCATAGAAGAACCACCGAAGAAAACTCCGGAAGAGAAGTTCCGCAAAGTCCTGATCCAGACTATAGTCAGTTGGGCGGAGGAGTCGCAGATCGAAACGCCCAAACTAGTCAGGGAGATGTTCAGGTAATATAATATTTTAGGGTTCCTTAATCAAAAAACCAAGGCCATTCTTGGGCCATCCACTTTGTTAATTTTTGTGACAAAGGCTTAAAGATTTTAGTCGACAAGGATTGTGGCCAGCTTCCAAGTCAATTCTTGTGACACATGACGTATGGCATGATGTATGGCTCTACGCTTTTCCTCAAGAACATAAATTTGACATAAAATGTAAAAAAAAATGGCATAAAAACCATAGGAACTTAGATTTTATGAGACTTTTGAGTCATCCTTGAGAACACACAAACAAAGGTTCTTGTGAGTTAATATTAAGCCTATTTTAGATTGCACTACAAATGTCCTAGCTGTTACTTCATCATTTCAGCCACAGGACGTCCACTGCTGAACATAGGCCTCCCCAATGATTTCCACATCGCCCGGTTGGTAGCGGCCTGCATCCAGCGCCTTCCTGCTACATTTATGAGGTCGTCTGTCCACCTTGGGGGTGCTGCGTTTTTCAGTACGCTTACTTATGAAACTATTTATGTCCTACAGTCTCCTAGTACGCCAATACGACGCTGTAGGCGAGTTGATCCGCGCCCTTGAGAAGACATACGTCATCAACGCAAAAACGAAACTAGATGTCGCCGAAATGTGGGTGGGACTTAGTCAAATCCGTGCGCTGTTGCCAGTACAGATGAGCCAAGAGGAAGAAGAACTGATGAGGAAGAGATTATGGTAAGTTAAATGTTACCTTATCACTTTGCCTTTAGGTTGAAAGTTCGGTGTCGCAGAGATGTAGATGGAACTCAGTCAAATTTGCACGCGAATGAAACAATGAAGTCGCAAAAATCAAATTAATTAATTATTTTTTTCACAGGAAACTTGTCAACAACCACACGTTCTTCCAGCATCCTGACTTAATTAGGTAAGTTATGTACTTCTGAAAATTCTGATTCATCTGTAACGTTTATGAACACAGAGAGAGAGAGTTGCAGTATATCTCATTGTATTGTAATGTACAAACGTATTATAAACGTACTATTATTTTCCACAATTACACAAATTTTACCTAGTCCCAAAATGAACAGAAAACTTTATTATACTTTTAGTAGGGAATATAGGTAACGAATAAATATTTCTTTTTAACTAACTTTACTCTATTTAACCCGTATGTTTGTCCACTATTATTTTGATCTATACCAATTTTGATACGGTTTAGTATTTCGAATATCTATTACTGTACGATTGTAAGTAAAATGTCCATGATGATGCACCAAAAGTACAGTTTTTCTGACAAATATCTCACGTTATTCATCACCAAATTCATCACAGAGTGCTCCGTGTCCACGAGAACGTGATGGCAGTGATGATGAACACGCTAGGCCGCCGTGCGCAGGCGCAGTCCGACGCTCAGCCCGCCTCACCGCCCACCGCCGATGACAAGGAAAAGGTGAGCAGAGAACGAATGAATGAATGAGTGAGGAACGATAAGGAGGTGACTGAATAAGTGAGTAATGCGCAGTCCGACGCTCAGCCCGCCTCACCGCCCACCGCCGATGACAAGGAAAAGGTGAGCAGAGAACGAATGAATGAATGAGTGAGGAACGATAAGGAGGTGACTGAATAAGTGAGTAATGCGCAGTCCGACGCTCAGCCCGCCTCGCCGCCCACCGCTGATGACAAGGAGAAGGTGATCGAGTGAACGAATGAATGAGTGAGTGAGGAACGATAAGGAGGTGACTGAACAAGTGAGTAATGCGCAGTCCGACGCGCAGCCTGCCTCGCCGCCCACCGCCGATGACAAGGAGAAGGTGAGCGGAGAACGAATGAGTGAATGAGGAACAAAGAGTGTGTCGCTAACCGCCGACGACAATAAGAAGCTGAGTGGGTTAGTGAATGAAAGACAGAGAGTGAAGAACAAAGAGTAAGTCGCCTACGGCTAACGGCATGGAAGAGTTGGGTGAGTGAAGTGCAGTCCGACGCGCAGCCTGCCTCGCCGCCCACCGCCGATGACAAGGAGCAGGTAAGCGAATGAGTGAGACAAGGGATGAACGAATGAATGAGTGAGTGAGGAACGATAAGGAGGTGACTGAATAAGTGAGTAATGCGCAGTCCGACGCTCAGCCCGCCTCACCGCCCACCGCCGATGACAAGGAAAAGGTGAGCAGAGAACGAATGAATGAATGAGTGAGGAACGATAAGGAGGTGACTGAATAAGTGAGTAATGCGCAGTCCGACGCTCAGCCCGCCTCGCCGCCCACCGCTGATGACAAGGAGAAGGTGATCGAGTGAACGAATGAATGAGTGAGTGAGGAACGATAAGGAGGTGACTGAACAAGTGAGTAATGCGCAGTCCGACGCGCAGCCTGCCTCGCCGCCCACCGCCGATGACAAGGAGAAGGTGAGCGGAGAACGAATGAGTGAATGAGGAACAAAGAGTGTGTCGCTAACCGCCGACGACAATAAGAAGCTGAGTGGGTTAGTGAATGAAAGACAGAGAGTGAAGAACAAAGAGTAAGTCGCCTACGGCTAACGGCATGGAAGAGTTGGGTGAGTGAAGTGCAGTCCGACGCGCAGCCTGCCTCGCCGCCCACCGCCGATGACAAGGAGCAGGTAAGCGAATGAGTGAGACAAGGGATGAACGAATGAATGAGTGAGTGAGGAACGATAAGGAGGTGACTGAATAAGTGAGTAATGCGCAGTCCGACGCGCAGCCCGCCTCGCCGCCCATCGCCGATGACAAAGAGAAGGTGAGCGGAGAACGAATGAATGAATGAGTGAGGAACGATAAGGAGGTGACTGAATAAGTGAGTGATGCGCAGTCCGGCGCGCAGCCCGCCTCGCCGCCCACCGCCGATGACAAGGAGAAGGTGAGCGAGTGAACGAATGAATGAGTGATGAGCAAAGATACTGTATTTTTGCGGACCGTGTGCAATAGTCCGCCTTACCACTGAACGCAAAAGACAAGAAGGTGAGTGGATAACGAATTAACGTTGGAGGACGACGGACGAACGATAGCTTAAATGAGTGGGGAACGAAATGAAGCGCCCACCGCCGACGACAAATAAAGGTGAACGATGGGCGAGTGAGTGGTGACCGAATATATGGGTGTGTAAAGAATCTACGTACTTGGAAACCTGATGCGTAGTGCAAGATAGTGACGGTAGGCAGTCGATCTTCCCACCGGCCACCGATGATAAAGAGAAGGAGTATCTCAAACAAAGGAATCAGTGAAGAATGAAGTTGCGTTACGAAGGAACGACTAAGTGAGTGAGGAATCGATGATATCGATTTCGTGCAATAAAAATATACAGAAGTAAACATTCATTTTCTATTTTACTCTCTTCAATGTAAAAGTGCTTACAAACATAATTTTGATTTTAAATTAGTTTCCATACCATCATGATCTGTGAACGAACGACTGACTTAGTGAATGAATGAAGTCATACGATTCATAACGAATGAAAACTGTTGTTCTCAGTAATGATTAAAAAATCCGCGTTTTTTCCAGGACACGTCACACGAAATGGTGGTAGCCTGCTGCCGTTTCCTCTGCTACTTCTGCCGCACCGGCCGCCAAAACCAGAAAGCCATGTTCGACCACTTCGACTTCTTGCTGGAGAACTCCAATATCCTCCTGTCGAGGCCTTCGTTGAGAGGATCCACGCCTTTGGATGTGGCTTACTCCAGTCTTATGGAGAACACTGAACTGGCGCTTGCTTTGAGGTTTGTGTTCTTCTACTGTTATTTTTAAAAGGTTTTTCATTGAGCAATGGAATCAATCCTTTATGTTTGATCAAGTATAAAATAACACCCTGTATACAGTATGAAATAACACTTAGTATACAGGGTGAGTTGTAAAGAGTGAACATCCTTGTAAGGGAATAAAGTACAGGCCATTTGCAACCAAGGTGCCTAGGCAAAAGTTTATGATTGAATTTTTGTATGGATTATAATAAAAAAAAATTATAATAAAATTATAATAGGTGCTGTATTCTCGCCAGCCTAATATACAAGCAAATATAATCTAAATATATAAAAGGAGAAACTGACTGACTGACTGACAGATCAACGCACAGCCTAAACGGCTAAACGTAGGCACTTGAAATTTGGAAGGGACGTAGCTTAGGTACCGTAGAGGTGCACTAAGAAAGGAATTCCCGAAATTCCCACGGGAACGGGAATTAGCGGGAAAAACAGGATTCACGCGTACTAAGTCGCGGGCGGCCGCTAGTAAAATAATAAATAAATCATTTATTTCCCCTCACAAACTTAGGTTAAATTACATTTGGTAAAAAATACATTACGCTATAGGTACTTAATACTAAGTTTGTGTGGGACTGGTGCCTGAAATAGGTTTTGTTTAAAACCTGTTCTACAGGTCACCAGGCCCCCACCCGTGGAATGGATAAATCATAAGCAAATAACTTTATTTGCTTAAAAACACTGAACAAGGTGTATTTATTTGACTCATTTGAATGTACTGCTCTAGACAATTAAAACTAGTCTCGTTATGATTTTTCCATACAAAATTAAAATCAGAATATCTCACAAATTTTTGACTTTTGCCACCACTTGTCCATGTGGCCGTCAAACATTTATCTTAAATGTTCAAAGTCAAAGTCAAAAATTTCCTTATTTGTTTAGACTAATAAATAGTTCTTACAAATCGTCATTTTGCTCTTAAGGAGCCTCTACATGTCTCATAATCTTTTTACCCTGCCAGCGCTTCGAGACCAATATTTGGCAAGTGCTGAGCTCTTCTTATATTATATCTTATCTACCAACAGAGAGCACTATCTAGAGAAGATAGCAGTGTACCTCTCCCGTTGCGGGTTACAAAGCAACTCGGAGCTGATAGAGAAAGGATACCCCGACCTTGGCTGGGACCCAGTGGAAGGCGAAAGGTATCTGGACTTCCTGCGGTTCTGCGTTTGGGTGAGTACCAGCATATAAAGCATAAGTTATCCATCCATACTTAAATTGATAAGTTGAAATACGAGATTGTGAAGAAAAGCGGTACTTCCTATCACAGGCACTTTTTTTTTCATTAGTTACTCGTTCCCTGTGCAGACGTAGACACTTTTTGTATCCAGTTGCTTCCATTTGTCACGTAAGCGTCCTTAAAAAAACCTGCAAACTTAAGGCTGAGTTTAAGATTAAGCGTAACTATGACCATAACAGGTGTTTTTTTATTGTGTACTAGCGGCCGCCCGCGACTTCGTGCGCGTGGTTCTCGTTTTACCCCCCCTTCATCTATCTTACGCGGTTCAGATTTTTTCATACAAATGTTTTTTCCCGCTAACTCCCGTTCCCGTGGGAATTTGGCAATATCCTGTTGCAACTAAGCTTTAAGTTTACTAAGGTACCTGCATGCCAAATTTCAAGAGTCTATCTTACGCGGTTTAGATTTTTTCATACAAATGTTTTTTCCCAAATTTTATATTAACTACCCACTAAACAAAATAATAACCACAAGCTAATTTGTATTCCATTCTATGCACCAATTAAATTATTTTGTAAATAGTTTATCGTAAAATATTTTTGCCAAATGAAACATTTGGCAAAACATACTTTGCCAAACAATAATTTGCTAAACAATAATATGCCAAAAACGACATTTGCGAATTAAAAGTTTGCAATAAGTTGATTTGCCAAATGAGAATTTGCCAAATGAAAATTTGCGAAACGTTGTTTGCGATGTGATAATTTGGGAAATGTTTTTTGGCCAAACATTAGTAATCCGATCTGCACGCGTTGGTGTTGTTGAAGCTTAATAAAACTACAATTACTGAACTTAATATCAAAGGCGCGACACAAACTTTGATAGTCCCAATTACTATGCATGGTCATACGCGATGACCTTGCATATATATTACCAACACAATATAAACGCAAGTTACTCTGTCAGTTTGTTACGTCTTCACGCCTAAACTGATGAATCAATTTTGATGGATTTAAGCATCGACATATAGGACTTGAGAGAAGAACATAGCCTGTTTTTTAGAACTTAGAGTAGCAAATTAAGTAACACAAGTTTGTGTAGTGAACATATAGTAGTTTTTCACATAATGAGGATCAGTACTGTTGTAGAAAATTCAATAAAACTAGTATCTACGTTAATCTTTAAGACATAAGAAAGATATATCTTTTTGAATTATCCAAATCGGACCATTACTTACGAAGATATTAAGTAATAAACATAGGCCGTTTTTGCCGCTAAAAGTCAACGTACGCAAGGCCGCGTGACGTCATTATATCCGAATCGAGCGCAGCCGGCGTACTATTGGGATGGAAAATATTTTTTTCCGGCTAAACTATCAGTTTTAGAAAAAAACTTTTAATAACATTTATTCTTCAAAATAAAGTAACCTATCGACCAGTAATTTTTAAAAATAAAAATTGTGAAAAATAAGTATTGCTATGTCCAAAAACCACATTTTCATAGGATTCGATGCAATGCGGAGACGCGGTTGGGGTGAGTGTAACTTAATGATTGTTTGTATTGAACATAATAATACATAATATGATGCTAATACCCAGTTTCTGGCCTGGGGGGGGGTAAGGTACCTGCATGCCAAATTTCAAGAGTATATCTTACGCGGTTTAGATTTTTTCATACAAATGTTTTTTCCCACTAACTCCCGTTCCCATGGGAATTTTGCAATATCCTGTTGTAACTAAGCTTTAAGTTTACTAAGGTACCTGCATGCCAAATTTCAAGCGTCTAACTTAAGCGGTTTAGATTTTTCGTACAAAAGGATTTTCCCGCTAATTCCCGTTCCCGTGGGAATTCCTAAGTATCCTATAACCTGCCCAGGAGTATGAAGAATAATTGTACCAAGTTTCGTTAAAATCCGTCAAGTGGTTTTTGTTTCTATAAGGAACATACAGACAGACAGACAGACAGACAGACAGACAAAAATTTTACTGATTGCATTTTTGGCATCAGTATCGATCACTAATCACCCCCTGATAGTTATTTTGAAAATATATTTCATGTACAGAATTGACCTCTCTACAGATTTATTATAAGTATAGATAGATTTTTTAAAGTAAGATGGTGCAACTCAGCCCAAAAGTCGTTAGTGGATGACACAAGGAATGTCAACCCTTTTTAATAGACCAGCGACTATAGATGACCCACGCTGAACTGTCCCACCAAACTCAATGACAGGGGGGCGCTACCATCGTTCAACTACATATATGGTTTCCAACGTGGCAAAAATCGGAACCAGCGATCCGGTATTGACGGTGGCGTCCCACTGTCAATGTCATGGATAGGACAGTTCAGTATTTTGGAACTATACTGGACACAGCAAACCGGTTTCCTGTAATGGTTTGCTGTATTGATTGCAAGTGTCTACATTTACGCACCCTTTTTCAACTTTCTAAATAAATCATATTACATCCAGGTCAACGGCGAAAGCGTAGAAGAAAACGCCAACCTAGTCATCCGTTTGCTCATCCGTCGGCCGGAGTGCCTGGGCCCGGCCCTGAGGGGCGAGGGCGAGGGCCTGCTCAAGGCGATAGTGGACGCCAACAAGATGAGCGAGCGGATCGCCGACAGGAGGAAGCTAAGGGAGATGGAACAGGAGGGCGATGTTACTGTGAGTATAGTCTTTGACCGACTTCCAAAAAGAAGGTTTTCAGCTATGCAGTCAAACAAATCCATCGACTCACCAACATGAGTCGTCACTTTATTGTAGACGGTCACTTCAGCGATGTCACTGTGAGTATAGTCTCTAACCGACTTCCAAAAAGAAGGTTTTTAGCTATGCACTATGTAGTTTCCACACCAAACCCGTGGAGCCACCAACATAAGTCGTCGACGTGACTTCAGGCGACTTCACATCAAAAGTTAGTCGGCTGCACGATACCAGCTACCAGCAGATTTTTTAGTTGCTATTAACTATCAACGTGACAGCCACTATGAAAACCGCATGTAGAAAGGTGACATAATGTTATAATTTCTCGAGTTTCGGCAAGAGAATTAACACGTACTCGTAAGCCGCATACATGGCCGGTAGCATGTTGCTACAAGTCTCTAGGCAACCTGACAAATCGTCGACATGGGTTCTTTGAAGTAAAGCCGCCGACAGCAAGCCGCCAAGCTTTCATCGTGTTTGGTGTATAGACTCATTTAAGCGACTAATACGCGACAATATGATACGCGAATAATAAGTGACAGTAGCCCAACGGTTTCGGTCTCAGCCTAACTGAACCGAGATGCGAGACACGCTCCGTCGGCCGGAGTGCCTGGGCCCGGCCCTGAGGGGCGAGGGCGAGGGCCTGCTCAAGGCGATAGTGGACGCCAACAAGATGAGCGAGCGGATCGCCGACAGGAGGAAGCTGCGGGAGATGGAGCAGGAGGGCGACGTCACTGTGAGTATTGTCTTTAACCGACTTCCATAAGAAGGTTCTCAGCTATGCACTATGTAGTTTCCACACCAAACCCGTGGAACCGCCAACATGAGTCGTCGACTTTTTTGTCGATGGTGACTTCAGGCGACTTCACATCAAAAGTTAGTCGGCTGCACGATACCAGCAACTTTTTTAGTTGTTAACGTATAAATCCCGGTCTGTGAGCGCGTAGAAATTTGTGAAATGACCCCAAGCTACCCATCCTTATCGCTCGCGCGTAATTATATTGCTATCGCGACTGTGCGACAGGCGCCCGCAGTGAGTGTGCGAGCGCGACAGCAACATAATTACGCGCGAGCGATAAGGATGGGTAGCTTGGGGTCATTGGACAAAATTCTACGTGCTCGCAGACCAAGCTATAGCCACTATGAAAACCGCGTCTAGAAAGGTGACATAATGTCATATTTCTCGATTGTCGGCTGGAAAATTAGCACGTAAGTCGCAGACATGCCACCAGCATGTTACCTCAAGTAGCTATACAACAAGCCGCCGAGCTGTCGGCGATTAATAAGCGACAATACCCCAACGGTTTCGGTCTCGGCCTGGCTGAACCGAGATCCGAGACACGCCCCGTCGGCCGGAGTGCCTGGGCCCGGCCCTGAGGGGCGAGGGCGAGGGCCTGCTCAAGGCGATAGTGGACGCCAACAAGATGAGCGAGCGGATCGCCGACAGGAGGAAGCTGAGGGAGATGGAGCAGGAGGGCGACGTCACTGTGAGTATAGTCTTTGACCGACTTCCAAAAGAAGGTTTTCAGCTATGCACTATGTAGTTTCCACACCAAACCCGTGGAGCCGCCAACATGAGTCGTCACTTTTTTGTCGACACTTCAGGCGACTTCACATCAAAAGTTAGACTGCTGTACGATACCAGCAACTTTTTTAGTGGCTAATAACTATCTACGCAACAGCCACAATGACAACCGTATGTGTAAAAAGGTGTTGTTTTTCTTGAGTTATGTCGGCGGAAAAATTAGCACGTAAGTCACAGACATGCCACCGGCATATTGCCACAAGTCGCTACGTAACACGCGCGGCTACTAAAGCCTGGTCCGTGAGTAATTATATTGCTAGCGGACTGCGACTGGCACCCGCAGTGAGTGTGCGAGCGCGATAGCAACATAATTACGTGCGAGCGACAAGGATGGGCAGCTTGGGGTCATTGTACAAAATTCTACGTGCTCATGGACCAGGCTTTAGTTTCCACAATAAACCCGTGGAACCACCAACATGAGTCGTCGACTTTTTTGTCGACGGTGACTTGAGGCGACTTCACATCAAAAGTTAGTCGGCTGCATGATACCAGCAACTTTTTTAGTTGTTATTAACTATCAACGTATAAAGCCCGGTCCGTGAGCACGTAGAATTTTGTCCAATGACCCCTAGCTACCCATCCTTATCACTCGCGGGTAATTATGTTGCTATATAAACCCGTCATGTATCTCACCTGATGGAAAGTGATGACTGATGATCAGGCTGAAGGTGGAAACAAGCTCCAACCGGAATCTTCAACCACAAAGGAATTGGCTATCTTACCTCTATCTGCTGGAAGACAACAATGCCGTTAACATTGTTGCTACGGCGACAGACTTAGGTAAGATAATGGTAGCTAACCAGGCAGACTTGAACAATTTTATTACCCTACCACAAACCAAACCGAACAGAAAAACTGCCTCACTGGGAATCGAACTCGAGACCTCTGAGTCTGAAGCAGGTGGTCTTACCACTAGACCACAGAGGCTGTTGGTCTGTTGAGTATACCTCGTTTTTTAACTCAACGCAGGTTAGTTATTTAGTTATTCCACCAGCCCCCACAAAGGGATTATCTAATGCCCGTTTTCACCATTAATCCCTAATTTTTAAGTGACCCCTATGGTAACAACAGGAATTTTGTTTTCAAAAGGATTAATTAAAAATTTGGGATTGAAGGTGAAAACGGGCATACTTCCATTGTAATGCGAACAACAGTTGGCATACAACATAGTTACTAGGGAATTTTCTGCTGTGATATAAATATTATGCTGTATATTCCTTGTTACAGTTCTCCCACCCTCTCCCCGAGTCGGATGAAGATGAAGACTACATCGACACCGGCGCGGCCATCTTGAACTTCTATTGTACACTGGTCGACTTGCTGGGACGCTGTGCGCCGGACGCCGCTGTCATTGCTTTGGTAAGTAATTAATTTGGTAATAGTTTTTTATGGTACAGTATGTTATTTAAAATAGTAAGACACGGGTCTTAACGCGACGTTTATTAATGAGTTACATTAAGTATTCACGGCTTAACGATTCGGCTGCGATGCTGCAGCCGTGGTCACAAGCACACATAATGAGTGAGTACATAATATAACTCATTACTAAACGTCGCGTTAAGACCCGTGTCTTACTATTTTAAATAACATTTTAATTGAAATGGAACGCGAAAGTTTAAAATCTTACAGTATGTTATTTAATAATAACCTGCATCTAACCTGATGGGCTGATGATTTTGATCAAGACAAAAGTGGAAGTAAGTGCCACCGTAATCTACAACCAAGGAGGAACTGTCTATATTTTAACAGTAGCGCCGCTATCTAGTAGCTAACTAGACTTCAAACATGTCCAATATTAACAAAACCGAGCAGAAAATGATGCTCCTATCAAACCTCGGTCCTTTGCGTTCATTTGACCTGACCGCAGACGCATCCGTCTGCGGTCAGGTCAAATGAACGCAGCCCGCACCTGTCAGCTTGCGTTCTTTTCTCCTGTCAGCACTTACAGATCGCACCAATGCAAAGTTGTATAGACACCGACAATACTACTGTTTAGCCCAAAGTTTAACTGGCAGATAATACAAGCTTTCTAGCTTAGTGCAGAGACCGCCAGAATAAATTGTACATGTGACATCTTTTAGAAATAAATACTTTTTACTTTACTTACTTTACATTAAAGTTTGCCCTATGGCTTAACTATATTTATTTTTTATTTTATTTATTTATTAAGGTACAGCAACAGATTGCAAATCATGGCTTAAAAATAAAGTACATTGAACAAAGATTAACAATTAATTTGCACTCCGATTGTAGCTGAACACAACATTCGTTTTAGTCTAGCTTTGATTTAAGTGATACAGTAATAATTCTAATAAATACATGCATGTTAGTTTACAATTTGCACCTACACAATTTAAGAAAAGATGCACGAGAAAGTGAGAAAACATCTAGATCCTTGCTAATTTCATTGTAAGCTCTACACATTCGGAACACTGGATTGTTGTACGTTACATTATTCTGACATTTTGGCAGGGAAAAAAGTTTTTGCGTTCTTTTACTACCACCTATCTTAAGTGAAAAATGGCTCAACAGTTCACTGCAGTCACATTCGGAATTCAAGATCTTATAGAGCGTAGCCATGCCAGCAATGCCTCTCCTAGATTGAAGGGTGCTCACCCTAAAAAAGTCGAGTCTGGACTCGTAGGTACCCAGCCTACGCCTCAGACCGAATTTTGCACTCAGACAACGGAGGAAACGTCTCTGCACAGCCTCTATTCTATCTATGTGGACATCATAATATGGTGACCACACCACCGAGCAGTATTCCAAAACACTTCTGACCAAGGCGTAGAATAGTGTTAGTATGCTTCTTGACTGTCTAAAAGGTTTAATGGTCCTAAAAATAAATCCCATTATTTTATTAGCTTTAGATACTATATGGTCATAGTGCTTGGTAAATGTTAGCTTACTGTCCAGAATAACCCCGAGATCCCTGACCACATCATTACGAGAGAGTGGCTCGTTGTTTATAACATAAGTGTTATCTATAAGGCGTTTATTTTTGGTAAACGAAATCAAGTTACACTTAGAGACATTTAGGGACATGTTGTTTCTTAGGCACCATCGGAAAAGTCGTTCAAGGTCGTTTTGTAAGGCTACGCAGTCACTTGTCGATCTGATTTCTCTGTATATTTTAATATCATCTGCGTATGCAAGGCAATCACAAGAGATTGAATCAATCAGGTCGTTGATAAACATGACGAACAGCAGAGGCCCCAGGTTAGAACCCTGTGGCACGCCAGACAAGGGCACGAATGGGGCAGACTCATATCCATAAACCTTGACGATTTGTGTTCGATTAGATAGATATGAGACAAGCCAACGCAGTAGGGAGCCATGGATTCCAAGGTGATAAGCCTTCCGAGTCAAGATACAGTGATCTACCTTATCAAATGCTTTTGCAAAATCTGTGTATATGGAATCGACTTGTGTTCGCTTGTCCAAGGCAACGGTCAAGTGATGAATGTAGCATAATAAGTTCGAGGTAGTTGAACGCCCCCTGACAAAACCATGTCATAAAAATAAATAGACCATATAAAAAGAGGGTAGGTACCTATCTGCATTTACAGCGAGAAATACGAATTCTAAGATAGTCGTAACTTTTAATGAACTTATTATTTTAATTTAACGTATAAACGTTTAAAAGCACTTACTTTAGTATATTCTGGAAAACCATTTGAAATAATATAGTTCTCGTTTTTACTAGTTCTTTCTACGACTTCGTAGTCATTGAATTTTATTCCTTTGATTAATTCAATAACTTTAAAGAATACCTACTAAAGTTTTATTGAAATTGGATTAGTGCAAACGCATACCTTTATGACAAACTAACATAATATTATTTTGAATGTAAATAGGACTTTGAATTTCAGGTACACGTTGTTATTCACCAGATGGGATAGGATGATAGCCAGCCGCTCTCGAGTTTTAATCAGACTAACGAACATCAATTCATTTTTATTTATATAGATAGAAGATAGAAGATTAGAAACTTCTAACTTATTTCGTTCTCTCTTGTTACAGGGAGTGCCCACTACGGCGAGGACAGCGTGGGCTCGTTTCCATACTTCGAGTACAACGTACCCAGGAATGTGACCACAGTGGTGGGTCAGACCGCCTTCCTGCACTGCAGAGTGGAACAGCTAGGAGATAAAGCGGTAAGTTAGTCTTTAATACATTAGCAATAGAGTACACTTTTGGATGCAGATGGGGCAGCAAGGTTCTTACGTGAAGGCCACATACTGGTAGACAACGGCCTCATAAAGGTAACAGGAAGGCGCTGGATGCAAGCCACTACCAAAGGCGATGTGGAAATCATTGGAAGAGGTATATGTTCAGCAGTGGACGTCCTGTGGTTGAAATGATAATGATGATAACACTTTTGATTTCCTAGTAGATAAAGAATACCCTTCTTGCACTGCAGAATCGAAAAGGTAAGAGATAAACGGTAAAATAGTCTAAAACCCACTAATTTGCCAAACTTCAATGGCAGTAAGCGGATTAAAATGTCATAGACCTGATGGCCCTTGAGGCGGAAAATTTCTCGAGTGGCCACCACAAATCGGAAGACTTACGCCCGTGTTCACAAACATTACTATGAGGTCTTACAGTGCGCGTGGCACAGGGTGACACGCGAACCAATCACAGAGCTCTAGTCAACGCTGTTTGTTTAATTTGCTGCTTCATTTAAGCAAGCATCGTTTCTGAATACGAGCGTTAGTGTGCTCGTAGATACGAGTAGGCCTATTTCTCTATGAACCGACGATCTAGTAACGGTCGCAGAAAGAACCTGAATGCGGATAGTACAGGACCGGTCGTTGTGGAAATTTTTGGTCCAGGCTTTTGTCCAGCAGTGGACGTCATTTGACTGAAACGAACGAACGAAAGTATGCCTTATTTATTTGGAAAAAAGACCTGGTGCCTCGTAATATAGGCCGTGAGAGAACAGGCATTACAGTCTATCGATTAGTCTATTTTAGAACAACGGATCTCGACTGGTGAAAATAGATCAAGGCTTTGAGTCCAGTAGGGCTGCCAACATCAGTTATTTATGTATAATTTATGTATGTATTTACAAAAAAAAGTATTTAAGTATGTTTGTATCCGTTGTCTAATACCCATTGTACAAGCTTTGCATAGTTTGGGACTAGAGGCGCAGTGTAAAATGTCCAATGATATTTATATTTTTATTTTTTATTTTTTTTATAAATCTATTCAACATTTAGCAGAAAGTTTATTTCCATTTATGAAGATTTTTATGACATCAGTTGAACAGTTTTGTTTGTTTATTAAAAAAGCCCTTCTGAAAACTTTTCCTGATTGACAGATTTTCTTAGGAATTTTTCTAATTGATAAAATCCTTTCTAGGATATAGGAATTTCATACTACATAGGAGAAGTATGATGACTTTAAAAATTAATCAGAATTCAAGAAAAAGAAGAGCGTTCTCAGACATTTAAAGTATTAAGCTTAATGACTAATAAACTTTATGGTCGTGAAAATAAAAATGATAGATGAATTTAACACAGGAATTATTAATTTAATGTACGTAGGGATACTATGACATGTTGGCAGGAATTCTTTTTTTAATTTGAGTAAAATATTCACAATATCTAGTCAAATACAAATTGTATTTATTGTGAAATCACAGGTACATAAGTAGGTAAGTAAGGTCATAAAGATTTTTTAATAAATCAGCTGTGTTCTACCGCATGGGCATACAATATGGAAAGGTTTAGGTTCTATGGAAAGATTTTGTATATTTTGGATACTCAGAAGTTGGTAACCCTAAATCCAAGCCATTTACATTGGATGTTATGCAAATACTTTGAGAACTGCACTGTTAAGTCTGGGATTCATTGGCCTGGCACACGGCACGTCAAAATACGATGAATCTTATGCAGTTTCATTAAGTGCTATTTTGCAACAAATACGGTTCTGGTAGCAAACGTGGATAGTAGCTGAATCTTTATTTGATACTAGCGGCCGCCCACGACTTCGTACGCGTGGACCTCCATTACCCACTTAGGGGTTGAATTTTAGAAAATCCCGTCTCAATGAGCACCTACGTTCTAAAAGAAACCCCATGCAAGATTTGAGACTCCTAGCACTTGTAGTTTTTGAGATTTCGTGATGAGTGAGACAATCAGTGACCTTTCACTTTTATAGTTGTATAGATTTTCCAGTGACTTACTCTTTTGAAGTTGTATATCTGAATGGCACCAAAAATATTGGAATCAGTGCTATAAACAAACAGTACCTATTCCAATGAGCACCATTGAATTTTCCTCACAAATAAAACCTCATCACAATAATTTAGACAGCTTCACTAAGTACTTAAGTCATTTGTAGCATACTATCACCCGTATTCACAAACGATGCTTGCTTAAGTGACGCAGCAAATCGAACGCACAGCGTTGAATAAAGCTCTATGATTGGTTCGCGTGTGACCTTTTGCCTCCACACGCACTGTGAGACCTCATAGTAATGTTTGTGAATACGGGCGTATGTTTACCAAAGCGCCCGTTTCTATTGGCCTAATTTTCTAAGGCTGTTGGTCAAATATCTACAGGCTTTAATGCCACAAATCTACACTTAAAAGATTTGTGGTATTTACAGTATACGAATGAATACTTCAACCATTTCAGTAACCATGACGTAAGGACAGAAATACAAATTAAATAGTAGTAATCTCCCTTAACCACAAGTAATTTTCTTCCAATCTAGGTCCACCTGCTTTAGTTTTAAAGTCCAAATTACCACTTCCAACCAAAGAGATTTCTAGAAAACACTTTGTTACTGAACTACCTACTTTCCTAGAGTATACAATGATTGTATCTCATCTTATCGAAACCTTTGAGGCCCATTGAGGAGGGTTTTCCTTTAAAAGTGCCCATTTGGACCTTTTGCGATCGTGAAACGGACTCCGTGAATGACAGAGCTCTTGCCCTAGTTTGGATACATGAATCTAATTCTAGATCCTCTAATTTGAATAGAAAACAAATATAGGCTATAAAGGTTCCGTTCAATTTTAAGCAGATACTGAAAATGTTGACTGATTTTATATCTAAGAAAAAATGGAAATGTGTTAAATGTTAGACAATGTTAATTTGTCCCAAATCAAGCACAGTTTGTATCTAAGGAATAGATGTAAAAAAACATAGAAGTAAGGTTAAAAAAAATAAATTCGTACACAAACGTGTGTACTATCTATACTAATATTATAAAGAGGTAAAGTTTGCGTGTTTGTATATTTGTTAAATTTTAAGGGGTAATCTCGGGATCAACTGAACCGATTTTAAAAATTCTTTCACCAATAGAAAGCCACATTATTGCTGAGTGTCATAGGTTATATAAAAATCCGAAAAAATTCTAGCGCGGACGAAGCCGCGGGCGGAAAGCTAGTATTAATTAAAGATCGATCATTGAACCCACGAACTCTATCGTAGTCCAGTAATCATAATTAAATTGGTTATTTGTATCATTAACTCAATAATAGTACAAGTAGATGTAAAGGTTCTTCACCTTATAGATACAAACAATAATAGACAATGAAAATAAACGAGCAATTATTCGAATTGAAATCTCAGTGTTTTCACGATAACCTAAATTCTAAAATAACGCTGGTTATAAACAAAAACAAAATTTCAAATCATACTGTCTCCAAGTTCATGACCAACTGCAATAAAATGCAGCCATCTTTGAAAAACTCGTTCCATATCCAATCGTAGACGTTCAGAAAACACTAATAACTGTCAAAAGGAACGGTAACTGACGTAGCGTTGCGGTAAGTTGATTTCGGAAAATATTCAGGATATCGATAGTATCGCTAAGTGCACTACTTACTATCGATAGGGCATTCTGAGCAATACTATAACGGCAGGAAGGTACAAACAGAACTTCTCATTATTAGTACGAAAGCATGCTTTTATTAAGCAGTGCTCATTAGTAACACGTGTGTTGCAACTTTGAGCGTGCTGAAAAATCTACGGGCGTTAGATTTTCGAGCATGCTACCCGAGGCGCGGGTAGAGCGTATCTGATTGGGTTTCGAGCATGCTTATTTATGAGTATGCTTAAAACAAGCATGCTTATTGCTTACGACAATACGATTTCCCGTTGAAGTAGTTTTCCTAAGGATCGTCAAGGGGTGTTTTGGCCAATAACTCGTAGCGAAAATTTGACTGGTACACTACCATATCGATACTATTATTTGCCTTTACTATCGATAGTGTACTATCAATCGATAAGCAACACTAAACTAACGTTTATTGGCAGACCTCCAGGCGGTATTGGAAAAAATACATTTCAAAATAAACCACGGCATTTTTCTCGTCAATGAGCTATGAGAGTCATTATTGCACTGTTACCGCAATTGGATGCTTTTCTGCTATCGTTTCTTTGATCCATCCACTTGTGTGGAGCATTGTTCCCTCAATGGTTCTCACTTTATAAACTTTCCCCCGGGACAAACTTGACCTTCATTGGTTGGGTTTTTATGGCGGTCAAGCTGTAGATCCTGGCTACACAGGAGTTGAAGTGGTGAGAACGAGAGCTGGGAATAGTCTAGTTTATAAAGTTGTGCTGGGATAAACATTAATACTATTTTGTTTTTCCTTAAAAATAGGCTCTTAGGTACCTGTGAAATTTCCGTTTCACTATCTTCTTCTCATTGCTTATTCATTTATTGTTTAAAATTTAGTCACTTTTATGTCTAGTGGGTTACAAGCCACTCAAGCCGCTCATCTGGTAGAATTTTTACGGTGAAATATTTTTTCAAATAATTGGCTTAGTAGTTTTGGAGCTTATTCAATACGAACAAAATCATGAAATCTTTGCTTTTTAGTGTAGATATTAGTACCAACTCGGTATCGGTAAAAAAATGTCTTCGTTAGTTCAGCAAAAATGGATTTTTTTTTTTCATTAAATGTGTAGATTTTATGATTATTTTTAAAATTTATTTAAATTTATTCATTAGTATCCTTATCATTTCAATACAAGCTAAGTTCATTTCTTTAATTAATTAACCGACTTCAAAAAAGGTGGAGGTTATTGTTGTTCTGTGTGTGAATTTTTTTTCTATGTATGTTTGGTCACCGATTACTCCGTCAATTGTGGACCGATTTTAGTGTAATGTTTTCGTAATGAAGTACGTGCTAATTTACTTTAAAGATGTTTTCTTAGCCACTTAAAGTAAATAAACGTAAATAAATTACACGGTTAATGCTCTGCTAATAGTTTTTAGATGTATCGTTCATGAATATTAAATTACTCTCTAATGGAAAGTAAATTAACTGTGGTTAGAGGTTCTTAGTGCTGCCTACACTTTTGCTAAAGTAGTAAAGGTTATTATACCTTTAAGGATAATAAATAGTAACTTACTTATGTAGGAAAAGAATCTGGATATCATAGGGTAGGCCTATTGTTCAGCAGTGACATCCTATGGCTGAAATGATTGGTGATGATGATGATGAAGGAAAATGTATCCCATTGTTTATAGGATAGATGTAGTTGAACATCAATATGTCATACGAGTGGTAATGATAACCTTCGTGCGTGTTAGATTGTGGATCAATCTTTCAGAGTACCGCCTTCAACTATTTCCGCAACGGTCGATCAATCCATCGATCGTCCTGCGCCGCCCGCACCTCCCACGACCTCCACCAGATCGTCGGTTCACCTAGTGGGGGCGCTGAATTTAGAATATTTTAATGTAAAATCTTCAAGCAATAAAATGTCTTACAGTAACATGAAACTTTATTATAATTTGGTTTTGTTTTAGGTATCCTGGATCAGAAAAAGAGATCTTCACATACTAACAGCTGGGATTTTGACATACACATCGGATCAAAGATTTCAGGTAAATATTACTTCTGTTTCCAACTTTTCTAAGAGATTTAATCTTAACTTGGTTTATCATAAAAAATACTCTTTCGCGGATGGAAATCGTGTACTGCTTACGAATGATTAAGGAGCAGAAAAATATTATGTTTGGCCAGATAGAAATAAAAAAATGACAGATCTTGTAAACTGAGTCCTGTTACAAAACAGTAGTTGTTTACAATGTTGTAAAGACGAATGTCCTTAATCTCCTGCCAAGGACTATCTATTAATCATGTACGATGTCGCAACACAACACAGAACTAAGTTTAATCTAAGTTGGGTAAATATACATGGCATGTTAGACCCTCTGACCCAAATATTGAAGCGTTGCCCCCAGGCCCATTAAGGACCGTAATATACCCTCTCCAAGTCTGATTTCGCTGTTTGACAGGCATTTCCCTAGCTTAGGAGATCTGTTGTTCAAGTCGGTAACCATCAAAGGGACGGGCGGATTGGATGGCGGAACCATCAATCTATTTTGAAGGTTAAGCTTTGCATTTAAACAGTTTTACTGGCTGTATTAGATTACATATGAATTGATGGTTGAAATAATACGAATTTCTGTGGAAATTCGCGAATAAATCGGTGGTTGCTTTGTGTTATAAAATAGATAGTTACAGGTTGTACATGTAACTATCTTGCGTGTACCTAATTCAAATGATTGTTGAATTTCTGATATCTTTTATCAGTATCTAGGACCACTTCAGAGCACTTTTACTCGTCCCAAATATAGCTTGCACTACCACCACTTCGGGGAAACATCTTTATAGTAATTATTTTACTCCAAGTATCAACCAATGTTTGTAAGAATTTGTACACACTACATAATGAACACTGAAATAAGCATTGTAGGCATTATTGTAAGTGTAGGCCTTATTTTCCATTTGACTCTGATAAATCAGAGATGGTAGTGCTCCTACAATGAACGATAAAACTAAATGATCTAATGATGAAGTTGATGTAAGCGTTATTAACAAACCCCCTCATTCCTCAGGTCATAAGGCCGGACAAGTCAGAGAACTGGACGCTACAGATCAAGTTCCCCCAGGAGAGGGACGCGGGCATCTACGAGTGCCAAGTCAACACGGAGCCCAAGATGTCGCTAGCCTTCCAACTAAACGTTGTCGGTGAGTCAGTAATGTTGACTTGTTTGGATTTTACCTTATATAATATTGAACCTTAACTTCGAACTCCTCCTATGTTCTTCTGATTAATTTCGTTGCGGGTCCAATGACAGTTTAACTTTCCCCCGGGACAAACTTGACCTTCATTGGTTGGGTTTTTATTGGCGGTCAAGCTGTAGATCCTGGCTACACACGAGTTGCAGCGGTGGGAATGAGAGGTGGGAATAGTTTTTCTTGTTTGGATTATAAATTAGCACTTCACAAACTTCAAAGTGGATATAAATTAGTAGTATCGTGAAATAGTAATACTAGAATTTATTGATCGATTGTCAACTAATTTAGAGTAATGTCAAGATTCTCAATCGCCAGTCTTTGACTTCGTCTCAATTTTCAGTTTCAACTGTTTACCTTCATAATATCATAATACAGTATTTGACAAGCGAATTCGGCATTTGGAAAAAGGCTGCTGATATGTAATAGGTAGGTACACTGCAAGCAAAAAAGAACTGATTTTTATCGACAAAACTGTTTCCTAGATAGCCATCCATTGCTATTCTTTTATCTACTTCTGGGTATTTGAAGACGACGGTATATCAATCTCATTACATGTACCTTATGTAGCTATGTATGTCATAATAAACTTTATACTTAGGCTGAAGTACACCCTAAAATAATTCATAAAAAAGGAACATCTCACAAAAATAATACGACCAATTCAAGGTTAGATAGCAGTAGTTTTTCTTGGCGTTTTATACTGCCTTTTTATTTACTGCAGTTTTCCAATAACTATACCAACTTTATGCCTTCGACTTCATATTTCCATCTCTTTACATGGTATCCCGCAAGGATCAACTTTAGGGCCAATAGAAATTGATAGCTCCACAATAAATTCGTTCCCAAACTGATTTAACACTTCCAGAAGTATAAGCGATAACCCGAATACATAACTGACAGACTCAAAGCGACTTAAGGCAATGCTTCTACATTCGCACGACAGATTTATGTCGATACCAGACGCTCGAACTCAGAGCGTATTATGCAGGGTTGTCTGCTCGAGGTTTTTTGAACTTAATAGAGACGACAGCTTGCACTGGCTATGGCTTACGATGGCGTTAGATGCTATGTAAAAAAAAATTAGTCTGTAGTGCCGTCGTTCGTTGTAAATTCTAGTGTAGGTAGGTAAGTTTTCTATTTTACATCTGTTCATTGTTTCACTTCACTCTCATTGATCACTCCAGCCATTGACAGTTTGTTCATCCAGTGAAAAATACTGATGATGTTAATGATTTTGATTTCCACATGCAATAGTAGCAAGTTCCTATTATGTGAATCCATTTCAAAAAGACAGTTTAGAAAAAAGAGGTAGAAAACTGACACGTTCAGTATTGTTACTCCCACTCTAAACAAGAATTCTCGATAAAGTTTGTACTTCCTCAAAAAGTGTAGCATTTCTTGGGAACGTCATTTCATAAACGTGTCTTGAGTATGACAACCCTGAAGCATATTTCTATGTTGGCCCAAAACGAGGGTGCTGTCACATCGAAGTTCGAATTAACTTTTTCCCCGTATCGCGAACTAGTTGAAAATCATACTGGAAATGTGTTTTGAATTGGAAAAGACTTCAAACAAACTGCATTGGCACTAAATAGAATGCGAGGCTTAAGTAAAAAAATACCTTAAATTTGAAAACAGTCTTTGAGCTTCTACCACACCAACGCGTGCAAATCGCCATCGCCGGCGCGATCATAGGCCAATGACAGGTCGCGCGACAATCTGCACGCATTGGTGTGGTTGAAGCTTTACTTGATAATTAACCTTAATTGAAGAATAAAGGAAAGCTAACTAATAAAACTACTAGGAATATAAAAAATAGTAAAGAACATCATTCGGCCATAAAACAATCTAGCTTTATTTCTAAAAAGTTTTGGAATAATACAAAAAGACTGACTTCAGTTATATTGCAGAGGAGAAACAAGTACCTATAATTTAATAATAAATTGTTAACTTCCACCTTCGACCTGATCATCACTTACCATCAGGTGAGATACAGGACAGGACAAGAGCTTCCTCGATGTGGATAAAAAAAATTGCAAATATTTATTGCATGTTAAGTACTAGGACTTACTAAGTTTTTTTCCTCTCCATACCCATTTTGCGTATAATCTACTAAAACTATAAAAAATCTTCATTCACATTTGTATAGTTTGATAGTTGACAACCCTGAAGCATATTTCGATGTTGGCTCCAAACGTGGAGGTGACGTCACATCGAATTTCAAAGTTCGAGTCGATCAACTTTTTCGCCGTATCGCGAACTTGTTCGTAGTCAAAGTAGAAATTATGGCTACTTTAAACTAGGTTGCTAATAAAGCTACTTTAAGTCCGGCTTCCACTGAAGCGGAGAAGGGAGGAGATAATGTTTATTACGAAGCAGATTTAGTTATTTCCACATCACCTCTCCGCTTAGCTTCAGAAATCTGATTGGTTATTCAAACACATAATATCTCCTCTTCAATTTGGTGGAAACCGGGCCTAAGTCATGCACTTAGCAATATACCTACAAAACTTGGATTGTATTCGCATGTTTACTACTAAAGCCTGGTCCGTGAGCACGTAGAATCCCGTCCAATGACCCCAAGCTACCCATCCCTATCGCTCGCGCGTAATTATGTTGCTGTCGCGCTCGCACACTCACTACGGGCGCCCGTCGCACAGTCGCGCGCGACTGTGCGACGGGATTCTACGTGCTCACGGACCAGGCTTAATAATTGATAGCATTGAGTTTTAAAGCTGGTAACAACTATTCATCGTTATCATCATCAACATTTCAGTCATAGGACGTCCACTCCTGAACATAGGCCTTCCTCAATGATTTCCATGTCGACCAGTTGGTATTGGCCTGCGTCCAGTGCCTTCCTGCTACCTTTATGATGTCGTCGGTTCACCTTGCGGTCGTTCATCGTTCTTCGTACTTCTCCTTTATTGGATTCTACTATGATATTTGATAGGGTCTTATTTGTAGTGATGGTAAACTCATGACTAAATTAAAACTTGAAGAAATCAATCTGGGGGCACGGCAGTGCCCCCGCCAAGTCGAGCGCGAAGCAAACACTGCCGTACCATCCTTTACTGGAACCATTTCGCCGCATTTTCAGGCCTCTATTTGAGAACCTCTGGATAAGACCAGAACGCTGAAATTTTCGTCATCTAGTAAGCTATAACCACATACTTAAAATCCAAAATTTCAAGTCTGTAGGTCATTTAGTTCCGAAGTTATGCGAAAGCAAAGTTTCGCATTTACGACACTCACTCACTCACTGATGATCATCAAAATAGAACTAGTACTTCCCATCAACTCAGAGAGCTGAAATTTGGTACAGAGTTAGGGTTTAATGGCCACGTAAAGGGAAAACTATAAAAACTAGGAAAATCGAAAATCTGGAGTAACACCATATTCATAATCAATACTACTAGCGCCACAACCGGCACCGTGGTGTTCGCCTATACCGCTCACCGCTAGATGGCGCTAGCACTTTGAGCGTCATTTTTCTGCACCGCGGTGTCCAGATTTTTTTTCCTTTCTAGATCGCCGTCGATTAAGTTGAATGTTGTGTAAATATTTGAATTTCGTTGATTTCGTTTATTATTGGTGAGGTTGGCTAAGGTTAAGTTATTAAAACAACTTCTGCTTTGTTGTCCATTTTAAAGGTCGTTGAGTTTATTTGTGTTTAATATCGTAAAAAAATGTCGATGATTATAAAAAAAAGAAAAGACGACGACGTTAAATAATTATGCCACTTTCTACAAAAAGAAGTGAAATCCCACCAAAAACATTCTGTAAAAAACTAGCCAAGTCTCGATAGAGCTGCTTGTTTATCTCTAAAAAGTAATGAAATCTAGACAAAGTCGTGCCAAGTCTATGGTTCCTTACTGCAATTTCTTTATTATTATAGTTAATGTTTTGTGACTTGGCCGTTGAACAATCTTTATAAGATAATCATACATAAGTATTATTGAAATACGCAGCTTTATCAAGTCTACTTGACTGGTTATTGAATCAACGTTTTCCAAGTGGCAATTTTCCATCGTCAATGGGTAGCGGTTCTGGCGACAGATTGGTGCAATGGTGTCATGGAGCACCTGGTTTTGTACCCTTCAACGGCCAAGTCACACAACATTAACTATAATAATAAAGAAATTGCAGTAAGGAACCATAGACTTGGCACGACTTTGTCTAGATTTCATTACTTTTTAGAGATAAACAAGCAGCTCTATCGAGACTTGGCTAGTTTTTTACAGAATGTTTTTGGTGGGATTACTTTTTGTGGGAATTGAACCCACGAAATCTCATTTCATACGAAATAGTATAGGAATACGAGACGCTACGCGCTAGTTGGTGAAAGTATTTCAAAACTATTTTGCATACTACTTTACCCGAAATTCACACGAATGAACTAACTTTTATAACCGCGTTGAAATATTAAATGTTCCCAGAAAATAGGTCATAAACTGAAAACAAGGTTTACCTATGAACCCATATAGATAAAGTTACCACAACTTATTATAAATTGCTACACAGTATGATTTAGAGGTCATACAAGTTGGAAATTCTGGATACGGATTTTAGGGCCGTTTCTTTGGAATTTTTCTAACTTTTCTAATAAGGATCGTAAGGATTTTTCTTTCGTAAATTACTTCATGAGATGTTTTTACGGATTCAAATTTTCTTTTGAAGTTGCTGAAATTATTTTTCAAAGTTTGATTTATATCGGAGGAAGTAATTAACATGGCAATGTAAGTATTAAAGAAGCTACAGCTAGAAGAAATGAGAAGAATAAAATGGTAGAACTAACCGTTTCAGTTTTATTTACTCTATAAAGTCTCTCGTATAAAATGTACGGAGTTTAAATGGGGTTCTACTTCGTGAGGATCTGCGAAATAGTGAGAAATATTTTATGATGAATGTCTTAGCTCTCGTTTCTGTTTTGTTTCTGGTTGGTGTTC